TTGTTAATGGGAGCCTGATGGGCTGATAGGAGCCAGGAGCCTGGGTGCTGGGGCGGTGGGGAGGAGGAGGAGGTGAGGGGGAGAGAGGAGGAGACATCCATTAACCTGCGCTGGAACAACACCAGCTGTCACTTTTCCACCCACCTGCCTGGATCACTTTCCAGCCTGGGGTGAGGGGAGAGCAGAGAGCCAGGGTAGGCAGGCATGGGGAACCCTACCTGGGTAGCTCTGGGACGGGGACTGCTTGCTTGCACTGCTTTGGACTGCTAGGAGGTGAGCAAGCAGTACAGTCCCAGGGCAGGAAAGCAAAGCTAGTGCCTGACACTGAGCGCCAGTGATGGGCTCTTTTGCCCCCACCCCAATCCTCCAGCTCATGCTGAAACCCCCCTGGGCACACCAGGACGACCCACACTTCATTGAGGAGCCCACAGACCTCTGAGTCAGGCAGCAAAGCAGAGCTTGACAAAACCACCTCTGCTCACTCCATTTGGGAGTGTTTCCAGCATGGCCACATGGGCCAGGAGCCAGCTGTCCTAGTGCAGCCACAAGAACAGGATGTGTTTCACTCCATGCGCACATGCCTCCCAGTGAGGTCACTGCATCCCAGAGTCACGGTACTCTCCCGCATCCCAGTTGTGTCACTACAGAGCAGGGTAATGGGTGCAGGCACCTCCATGCTGGCTCTGGGGACAGAGGGGAGGGGGTATCAATAAAAGTTTAAGCACACTCCTGCAGCAGCCAGCCACATTTTACCCAGCCCTCGCAGTTATAGAATCATAGACCGGTTTGGGTGTTGAAGGGACATTGAAGCTCATCTAGTCCCAACCCCCTACCATGGCAGGGACACCTATCAGACCAGGTTGCTCAAAGCCCCTCCAACCTGGCCTTGAACACTGCCAGGAATGGGGCAGCCACAACTTCTCTGAGCAACCTCTGCCAGTGCTTCACCATCTTCAAAGAATTTCTTCCTAATGTCTAACTCTGCTCTCTGGCAGTTTAAAGCCATCTCCCCATTGTCCTATCCCTATATGCCCTTGTAAGAAGTCCCTCTCCACCTTTCTTCTTGGCAGGAGCCAGTAGGAGCTGTGCTATCTCTCTGGGTTTCTCTGGCACCCACAGCTCCTGGATAACAGAGCATGAAGTGCAGCTGCAGTGGCAGAAGCTCCTTTGTCCAAGTTCACTGGCCTGTTTGTTTGTATAGATGGGTGTAACACTGCTTTAACCCCCACAGCAGAAACCTGCAGGTATCCTGGTCCTGGGTGTGCTTTAGAAACCACCATCATTGCTCTTTCCAGAGCTGAAGCGTGCTTGCAGGTTGCAGTAAATGATTTCCAAACTTGAGTGGACAGTGGCAGGTCGTTAGCCACGGCCACCCAACCCTTCTTACTTGGAGCCTTGTCCCTCTGAGAGTCAGGATTTTGAAAGGCAGGCTCCAACCCTCCTGCCTGCTGCTGCCTCTGCAGGGTGGGATCCCCCAGGCCTGCCGTGGGGAGGAGCTGGAGCAATATTAACCTGCTGGCCTTGCTCATCCTGATCCTCATTTCCAGTAGTTTTGCCAGCCGAGGATATGTGGAACCACTGCTGCCCTGGGCTGGCGTGCTAAGATGGAATGTGGTGTTCCCCCTTGTTTTGATGCTATCAGACGCCGACACTTCTCCTTTCCTGGTGTGGGGAGCATGCTGGGAAGGACTCTCGCCTCTTCCTGCAGAGCAGCAGCTCCTGGCATACGAAGGCTGCCTGTCTGATCCCCACCTTTCCAAAGGAGTCATGAAAAACATCACACTGGTGATGCTGTGGTTCCAGAAGACATCTCTGACCCTATGTACTATGTTAAAGATGATGTCTTACCCAACCTCTCTCCTGCTAGGGCAGGGCCCCACCATAGAAAGGACTGTGTTGGAAAGGACTTTAAGACCATCAAGTTCCAACCCCCCTGCCATGGGCAGGGACACCTCACGCTAAACCATGTCACCCCAAGGCCCTATCCAACCTGGCCTCAAACACTGCCAGGGATGGAGCATTTACAACTTCTTTGGGCAACCCATTCCAGTGCCTCACAGCAAAGATGACCCTTGCAGGTCTGCTCTATGGATAATGAGAGAACAGCAGGTCCCTTAAGCTTGCAGAGGGCCCTGTGCTGGACAACTATCCCATTCCCAAATATCAAAGCAACACAGCTGAGCCAACAAAACCCTGCTTAGACGTGGGAGGCCACGGATAGAGGGCCTCTGCCCATCTCTGCTAAGGGTTTTGGGAGCACCACGTTCATGTTTTTGCTCTCCAGGCTTTGCCCTGCCTGTGCAGACACTGCAGGCTAGGCAGGGCAGGAGCTTTCCAGGTTCCTACCTAATACGCAGTACAAGGGGAAGAGAAGTGGCTGATTCCAAGCAGGGGCTGTGCCAGGGTCTGTCCCTGCAGCAGGAGGACCAGGGACTGTCTGCTAACACTGCCCCCTTCCCACACGGATGCAGAGCCATGCCAAATGGGTCTTTGCAGGGGATCGGGATCCCTAGCCTGTAATGGGACAGCAGAGCCCTGCAGACACCCTGGCAGGGAAGACCAAAAGCAGCTTTGTTCCCTTCCCTTTATCTCCCAGACAATGGCACATTCAGCAGGTGTTAAATGTTTTAATGGGATTCAGGATAGCTTCTGTTGCCCACCTGCCCCAAGGCCATTTCACCCCTCCCTAGGAACCAGAACTAACAGCCAAGAAGAAAAGGCCTGCTGTGTATTGCATTAACTGGCTGATGACTGAGCAGTCCTGATAACCAGCACAAGGAGGAGGGGAACCCCTTTAGCTTTGTTAAACTCACACTCGGCCACCCTCTTGCTGGCTGTATGGTTACCTGCCAGCAGCCTGTCCTGGCCACCAGCCCCAGCCTCATGGGAACATCACCCCCCTTCACCACCCTGACACCAGTGGGAAGGAGCAGGTCCCATATCTTCGATATCTCTGTTGGAAAAATGTGTGTTATGAAAGTGGCTGGTGTTGGGGCAGGGGCCAAATAGAGCCAGTACAAGCTCAGAGTTCTTCCTGCCTGAGACCCAAATGCAGTTAGTGGAGATGGGGGTTCTCCCCTCTTCTGGGAGCTGGGCTGTGGATCTGGCTCACTACAGTCCCACAGTTCATTGCCTTCACCATCTGCAGTGGCAAAGGGCCTCTTACAAAGTTGCTTACTAAGGGACAAGTCCTCCCTGCCAGCACTGCACATCTCCATCACATCACCCGGGTGAAAGGGCCAAGGAGCTGGCAGCACAGCTTCTGACAGCAGAAAGTGGACAAAGCTTTCGTAGTCTCAGATGGGGTGGGATTCAGTTAGGTTGAGGGAATGGCCACTGATGGGGAGGCTCCACTACTCCAATGATGTGGACAACAGTGTTGCCTGGTCACACGTGGAGTGCTTTCCAAAACTAGGCCAGGGTCTAGTTCCCATTTTAAGAACAGGAAGCAGGAATTACCCCAGCCTGGGAAGGGGGCTGGCCCTGGTGTATTTTTAGGATGAGGATAAAAGAAGAAAAGCGTGACAGCCGCTAAGGGCTTTGCTTAGTGCATGCTGAGTGTTTCTGGTTGACAGGCACCAGAAGAGACTGAGAGGTGACACACCACCATCTCACACACCTTGCAAAGAGCAGAGGGGAAAAAAGGCTTCTCTCTCAGAGGTAGGGGTAGCTTTCAGACCTCTTGTTCCCTGACTCACCTTGCTGAAAGCATGTCTCAGGGCTCTCTCCTACTAGAGAGATGCTAATCAGAGAAGTGAATTTACCTCTGGTAGTGCTTCAACAGGCAGGTAAAGTGTGAGTAATGTTTCCTCCAGGCCCAGGCTGTGTTCAGCACAGGAGAGTGGGGAGGATAGGAGTTTTAATGGCAAAAAAAAAAATACTTCCCTGCACACATGTCTGCACTCAGGCTCCATCCATTCACTCTTGGGTGTTAACACCAGACTCACACACAGCATTTCTCATGCTGACCCATCTGTCCCACAAGGCAGAGGAGTTAAATGGTGATTCAGCTCAGAGAGCATCAGATCACACAGGAGGTCTGAGGACCCTGTCTGCTGCTCCAGCCAGCTGGATTCAGACTACTTTGGGACAAAAGTGGGGCTTCTGCCTTTGCAAGCGTTACCCACTTAGGAACCCTGGCACAGAGCTACAGAGCATGTGTAGTGAGGAGCCTGGACCAGGCAGAGTCCCTCCAGCAGCCTGGCTTTGCTGTTGCTTGGAGCTGGGGAGAAAAGAGGTAGGACCCCATCACCCTTTCAACACCAGCAGAAGACAAAGGCTGCTGCATGACCTTGAGGACCTGGCACCCAGGGTGTTTGTTGGGGAAGAGAGGATCTGCACTTCCCATGAGAGGGATCCAGGCTGAGCACAGGAGCTGGCAGTGCCTTTGCCATATCTCTGACAACAGGAACAGTTCAGCCCTGGGGCTTAGTAACCGTTACGCAGACAGGGCCCCTGTACAGAACAGAGCACTGGAGTGGTGCTGGGTGAGCTGCGGCTCCCCCGGGCACAGCCCTCTGGAGCTTCTGAAGCATGGTCTTCTCTTGGGCTGCAAGACGAGATGGTGCAGGTCTGGTCTTGGCTGGGCGCTGGCACTGGGAACACAAGGCAGGAGGGTTTGGAGGGGAACACCAGCTGTGTTCCCGCCGGAGCAGGATGGCTGGATGACCCGCAACGTCACAGAGCCCGTAGCGGGGCTGCAGAAGAGGGGAGATGTTGCGAACCCAGCCCAGCTGCCTGGCAGGACCGGCTGCAGCCTTTGCAGGGAAGCAGGCAGTCGGTGCCCGGCACTATCCTCAGCCCTCCGTTTCTCACAACTAACACTGCCACCTCCCGGCTGTGACAAACCCGCTTTGCACAGCGACACCCTCCTGGAGCCCGGCGGGACCCTTCAGCCAGGCCAAGACTCAAAGCATCCCCTTCCCCCGTTTGAAAAGTGAAGAGCTTGTCTAGGTGCTCCCAAACCCAAATGCATCGATTACGTATGTTACACGCCGGCGTCTTTGTGCCCAGAGGCCAAACTGCTTTTATTGGGTTACTGAATGTGCTGGATGGTGCTGCAGCCTCTCTCTCAGGCTGGGTTGCTGTATGTGGGACCTGCAGCAGTCTCTGGAGCAAGAAAGAGAGGATTAAGTACCTTCGTCCTACTGATGTTATCAGGGGCTCAGCACCTCAGTGCCCAGCTGTCTATCCTCTGCCACATTTCAAAGAAGATTTGTCTCCCAGCTCATACAGACCAAGAGCAGTGGGAACAGTCACAGAGGTTGTCCATGTGCTCCCTGTAGCAGAAGGAGGTTCTTCTCTGATGATGTGGACAGCTACAGACAGGCAAGATCTCATTAGCTCTGCTGTGGAGTTGCCAGAGGATTCAAATTGGAAATGAGGACATAATCAGGACATAGGCCCTCAGAGGCAGACAACATGCTGTGGTCCAGTCATGGGGTGGGAGGACTGGAGTTGCACTGGACATCACGGGGACAGGCTGTAGAGAGGTGGAAGCTGATGCATGTAACAAGCTCAAGCAGCCCAGTGCCCAGCAGCTATGCTCTTGAGGGTGGTGGTGGTGGTGGACTGGTGATTCTGAAGAAGAGGAGATTGGTTTGGGGTTGGGGAGAGTGCAGCCTGCTGCTGCCTCCCCCCCAGGTAATCATCACTCCCCCAGGGAAACACCCAGCATCTATCTAGACAAGACTCCTGCAGCTCTGGAGATGACATCTCCACCCAACAGCCCTCTCTTATCCTCCTCCAATCCAATCTGCCTGCAGGTCTTTCCAAGCTGGGGCAAAGCCTCATGTTTTGCCCTCAGCCCCAAATCTGCCTCCCTACCAGTGGCCATTCCCTCACCCTAACTAAATCCTAAACTATCTTAGACTATGAAAGCTTTGCCCCCTTTCTGCTGTCAGAGGCTGTGCTGACAGCAACTTGACTCCTTTACCTAAGAAACCCTCCTTGTGCTGGGCTGTCCAGTGCCTCAGACTCTTCTGCTAGCTGTTCACTCACAGGGCCCTGCCCCTGAACTGCATGATGGTCTCAGGTCCACGGAAAGGCTGTACCATTATCACCTCTGCTCTGTGGTTTAGGACAAGCAAAGAAGGGGCAGAGGCTTTTGGAGTAGATTCCCTGTTTTGCACAGGCAGCCTTGACATTGACAGCCCGTGATCCAGCTAATCCATGTGGTCTAGAAAAAGAGCTGTACTTCAGCCTGACACATTAAGGACAGGTCTCAACCCCTGCCGAAGCACAGATACACTCTGCTACCTTTGGGAAGGGCTGGAGGGTAGAGCAATGACCCTGGGCTGGGCTGTCAGCACCACTTCCCCACAGCTGGCTTCAATCAGTATATTCTGCAGGGTGTTCTCCAGCACCAGCTCCACCAGGCTCCTAAAGGCTGGCTGCCTGGAGGGACAAATGTACAGGCAAAGGATAGCTATCAGAAAGCAGATAAGGCAGGCTGCTTGCTATGACTCCTCCCAGGACACATCTCCCAGCACACATCTCCCAGCACACACTGTTTCCTACACACTGAGGCCAAGGAACCAAAGACTTAAGCAATGGGGTGCTGACCCCCCCTTCCAGAGCTGCCACCAGCTGGTGTCAGGCCCTGACCTCAGACAGAGCTGGGTGACCGTGGTTTTAGTGGTTCCTCTCTCTGAGTTGTGCTGTAGTTAGTATTTGTGCATATGCTTGTGGCCTGTAGCAGTGTGTAGCCACAGCAAATCCAAGGTGATGAAATACTACAGTAAAAGTAAAAGGTTAGGTCAACACACACTGCACTCCAATGTCCAGTACAACCAGGACTGCCTGAAGATAAAGCAGACATCACTCACTAACAGTGTCCTGGCACTGTCCACAGCTTGACCCCAAGAAACAGCAAACCTGCACTCTTCATAAACCACACTTAAGGAGAGGGTGGCTAGGTAAGCTAGTGTCAATTGCCACCCAGGACACACAGAACAACTCAGAAGTGCCACAGAAGGAGAAATGAGTTTCTGGCCAGGCAGAGCGCTGCCATGGCTCTCTTGCCTGTGCAGCTTCCTCACCTGCTTATCATCTCCTTCTGCTCCCTCAACTGCTCATGGTGGGAAATTTCCAACCAATCATTATTGGGAGAGGTTTCCTGCCTCATTTGTTTCCTCTCTTCATCCTTCTCAGGGTAAAGATCTGGTGAAGCAGAGACCCCAGAGGGGACTGTGGAGCACTGTCTCCTGTCCTGGAGTTCTGCTGATTCTGCACACCGAAACTGGGAGAAGTATGGAATGGGCTCATCCAGGGTGCTTCTTACTGCATCATGGAGCTGGGTGCTCTCCAAGAGGCCTCTGGGAGGACAAACATAAAGGATGAGTCCCAGGAAATCAGGTGACAGATGTCAATGTTTACTCTGTCCCTTCTTGCTTTCTGGGCCTGAGAGAGCCATAAAGAAGGCTTGAGATAAGGAAACTTCCTTTCCCTCCCCAGCACTGGTTCTTTACATTTTTGCAGCTGACAGAAAAAATAGGTGAATCTCAATGCAGCCTGTTCCAAGCTCATGGCACCAAAATGCCCTGGTGTCCTGGGCACTGACACCATTCACTAAAGAGAGATGGGCCCAGCGCCTAGCTAGGGAGCAAGATCCTGCCTCTGGCTATCACACCAGGGCTTCTGAGCTCTAGTTCCCAGTGCAGCCTTTTCCAGGCTGCATCTCCCATTCTGGTGCAGCAGGAGTGCACAGATTCCTCTGGGATTAGCAGAGGGCTGGCCATGCTGCACACATTCCCCTCCAAACTGGGTGGGGGTAAAAGGATACACACCTGATGACACCTGCGAGTATGTCAGTCACTATCTGCAACTCCTGTTTCGAAGCAGCAGCCAGGGACAGCCTTTTGGGCTCCGTTTCCATTCTGTTTTTGTCCCTTCTCCCATCCACAAATTTGGTTTCCAAGGGCTGGTCGCTGAAGGGCCTGGGAAAGAAGGAATTATTCTGTCAGTGGCAGAATCAAACTGCCAAAGACCTGCATCCTCCTGTTTGAGCAGCAGCACTGCAGGCAAACAGGGAGCAGTGCAGGAGTGGGAGCTGCTGCATCTGTGAAAGCTGCAGGGACGCTGTCATGAGAGAGGAGCACCAAGCTCTGACAGTATCTTCTTTTTGAGGTAAAGAGACAAAAAAGTCGTGTTAGCTAATGCTGGGGAAAGCAAGGCACCACTTGCTTAATACTGCGGCACTGGAGGGGAACAGAGCAGAGCTCCAAGTTCAGTGCATACCACAGCATGGGCAGCCCTGGCTCAGATGAAGACGCAAATCCAAAAAGCTTACCAGAACAAGAAGTACTTGTGGAGTTCAGAGGTGAATTTGTTGAAGAAGTCCTCAAGAGAGTAGGCAGTGGCTGTCACACCAAGGTGTAAGAGGATGGGCTTGGGAGGCTCTGGTTTGATCCACACCCAGCTGGATTCTTTGTCCAACAGCCGCCTCCTGTCAACGTGTCCAGCTGGCTGATTTGGTGTAGGGTGGTTTTTAATAGGGGGTAATGTCTATTAGAGAGAAAGAAATGGCAGGTAGTGAGCTGCTCCTTTGGCCACAGATGGGCTGGTGTAGGTGGGAGCACAGGCCTGAGTGCTCAGGCCTGGACAGGAGAAAGCATCAGAATGATCTTGGCACTGCAGTTCTCCCATCAGACACAAGTAGCCATGCTGGGAATCAGGTCCACTCTATCCTCCCTGCCTAGCATGCCAGCCCTGAGGGTTAGCAGGACTTCAAGGTCTCCCCAGGGTACTTGGGATTGTTGTATTCCTATCCATCTCTTTTGGAACTCCGGGATGTGCAGAAACGCATGCAAAAATAGTCTCCCAAGCCTTGAAGGGAACCAGGAACTGACTCCTGCTATACCACATGGGCCAGTTTGGGTTCGCATTACCAGCAGTCAGTCTGGGGGAAGTTTCTTAGAGTAGGAGTAGTCCAGAAGCCTGGGCCAGAAGAGCACCACCCAGTTTTGGAGAAGCCCTCACCCATCGCAAAACTTCAGTAACCGTTGGGACATAACTGTCCAGTCTCTGAGAATGAGGCCAGAGGCCTTCACTGCTCCAGACACAGAACAGTCGATTGCAGGCTCCAAATTAACACTGGGAGAAAAACCCTATAGGACTAAACAAAACTGCTTTTACTTTTCCTCAACTATCCTTACATTCATCCCAGTGAATGCCTCAACCTGCATCACTGATTACACGTAACAGCACAGGGCAGACAGTCCAAAGCTAGAGCTGCCCTGAGTTGATATCTTCACACAGTACAGTTGAGGATATGCAGAGGCACTCTGCAGGGTCCCAGGAGCACTGCTACAGCCTTACTATGATGGGAATCCTGAGATAACAAGCTGTGTCTCCTAGCTGAGTCACTCTGCTCAGGCCCAGCCTCACGCAAGCTCCCCTTGACCCTTCCACCTCTTGGGTTAGCTGGTTCTCCACAAGCCCTGTCATTCCCACAGCATGTACTGCAGATGGCTGTACACACAGCGTGGCTCTGCCTTTGGGCTCAGGCAGTTCTGCAGAGCATTTGCTGGGACCTTGTCTCACACCTTGCCACAACTGCTGGAGAAGCTGTCACAGCTGTGCAAACTTCAGGGGCAAATTGAGCTTTACATTTTTCTGAGCACTTAACTTCAGGCAGTCCCAGCTTGCAGTTTCTCCTGAGGCACAGAGTACAGGTCTTTTAGCAGTGTAGTCTGCACCACGTCACACCAAGGTCCTGCCGCTTTCTGTCATGGCACGCATTCCATTGTGGCCACAGCATGAAACCAGCCCAGGTACTGACTGCCCTGTGTGCATCTTTCCTGCTTATTCAAAACCTTTACACCTTTCTCCAGTCATGGGTGTACGTTTGGTTCCAGTTTCACTTCCTGTTCACCTCAGCTGGAAAGTTACTGCCAACATGGCACAGTCAGTCTGCTGCTTTTGGCTTCTCCAAACAATCTGTCTCCCAAAGCCTTGAAGCAACAAATCATGCTGTGCTCTCTGTTCAGGCTCCCATGCTGTGATATCAGCATCTGCCTCTTTTCTATAGCAGTCAGTTTGATCCTACTATGGGTGAGACAGGTCTGACTTACCTTGTATCTCCTCATCACAGCTGAGGATTCAGGAAGAATTTCTGTCTCAGCAGAACCTGATGACCTCTGAAAAGAAAGGGAGATGGCAGGGAGAAGGAAGAGAAATTCTTATAGGAAAGATATGGAGCATAACAAGACTCCAGGATTTTGTTTTACTTTGTCCCAGCTGAGTCAATGACCTCATCCTCCCATTCTTCACTCAGGCCACATTCTTACTGGCAGTTACACATTTCTCTCCAGTGTTTATTCATAGTTAAAAATCCAGTCATCAGCTTCCAGAGCCACTGGCTTTGTTTCCCCTAAGGCTTCTCATGCACTTCAAATTTCAGACAATCATTAGCAATTTCAGAGTTTGTGATTCTTGTCTAAAAAACAGCATCTCCTTTTCTGCTATCTACAGACCCATCTATGGGATCTTGAATAGATCAGAGTCTCATGTCCTCTTATCAACTTGCCTAGATTTTTTTAAAGAACATTTCTTGTTAACATGGGATGCTGTTTCTGAGCTGAACTAAGCTGGTGTAAAGTTCTGGCAGTACTTACCCCTGCAGGTGACTTTTGCTTCCCCAGGTCCTTCTCTGTGATGGTGAATTCCACAGCCTGCCTCGCCTTCTCCTTCTCCCACTCCTGCAGCTCCCTCTTGTACTGAGCCAGGGACTCCTGGATGTATAGCTATGAAGCAAGTTTGGAGTGAGCAGGGCTAGAAAGGAGCTGTAAATAATACGGTCTCTGGCTCAACCCCATGCCTGTCATCAATTTCTCCCTTCCAAGAGATCCCAGGCAGAAGCCCACTCCCTTTCCATGTCTTCCAGTAGCAAAAAGGGAGAGAACCATTATTGTAAGACTGATACAGAGAAGAAACAATCTCTTGCCGAAGAACAAATGTCCAGAGGGACACTACTGCAAGTCTGTGCCCTCACTAATATTACAGAAGCAAGACTTGCTTTTTACAGATACTTAAAGTCTCTGACATCCACTGAAAACCACTTCCATTCAAACTGTGACTGCCTGTAGCTGTGTTCAAGTCACAAAGCCATGTTTCACAATTACACATCATCTAGTGAGCCACACAGACACTTAAACCACCAGAAGAGATGAAGCTCAGTATCTTCAGGAACGAGAAGCACTGGCCAGCCTTATGGAGCAAAGTAGGATTCCTTCAGCTTACTGAATGCTGGGGGCAGCCATTTGGGAACTGTGGTGACATGCCCAGGTGATGGTAATGCACGGGCACCTCCTGGGTCTCACCTCACACACCAGATCTGTGCTGCAGAAGGAAGCAGTCCCTGAAGGTTGCAATGTGATGAAGCAGGGGATGCTTTCTCCAGGCTGCACAACCCCTACTTCTGGAGCAATCTGTAACACCTGGGAAAAAAAACAAACAACAAACCCAAGCCACAGAGGAGCTGTTTCATTGTCCTGGACCCTTCCTATGTGCCTTCACTTTGTAGGAAACACAGGACTGTGGGAATTTTCTCCCTTCCCCTCTCACAGGTGTATGACATGAGTGAGGTACAGCCGATATAGTGCAAGAACAACCACAGACTTTGCTGGTAGATGTGGTCCTGAGGTTCATTATTGCATCCTGTAGTTCCGGGTTCGTGTATCCTCACTGAAGTCTTCAGATTTCCCTCTGAATTCTGTCTTTCCCCCCTGTCCTGACCCTTGCCTTCACTCTTCTCTGCCCTTTCCTTTCAACAGCTAGTACAAAAGCCAGTTCCTTAGGACTGTTTCTGAATGTCCGGTTGAAAATTGAGTTGTAAGGTGCTTTCAGGACACAACAGAGATGGGCAAGAAGGCGGTAGAGGAAAGAGAAGGACTTACCCTCTTGTCTTTGCAGGTGCTTATCTGCCAGGCAAACACAACAGTCTTGCTCTCCGAGATATTGTTGAGAAAGACAAGTCGACTAGCTTTAGCACAGTCTGGGATATTTCCAAAACAAATCCTTCTGTGGGACAAGGTGGCTGCCTGCAGGAAGCAAGGTGAAACAAGGAGAAATAGCAGGAAAGGAAGATGGGATGTGGCCACTGGGGAAGGGCAATCATAGTCACCTTGAAGTTATCCAGCGATTCATGGATGATATTTGCCAGTTATCTTTACCATAACAACTCGAGGGAATGTTACCTTTCTCTCATTTTTGCTCTGGTTACAATGACCCTTTACATCAAGAGGACAGCCTGGTTGCAGTGGGATTGAATGAGTAATGAATAGAACATAACACTGGTGCTGGGGCAGGGACCAGCAGCGCTCAGATTCCCTCTGCAACACCTGCAGTCCAGGCCTTTTCCTACTTCAGTTGGCAAATGCATCAAGTGTGTCCTTGCCCAAATCATCAACTTGAATGTGAGTTTTGGGAAACTGCTCCTTACCACACCTTGCTAATAGTCTGTCCCATTCTCCAGGCAAACTCCAATTAATTACATTGGTCACTGGAGAAGCTAATGACTCTTGGTTACAGACAACAGAGCCTTGTGAAATGACATCTTTGTTGCCAGCCTGAGACAGGTTTTTAATCATCTCTTTGCTATACCCAGGAACGCAGTCGCCCTGCTGGAAGCCAGAGCATATGTAGCTATGGCTGAGCTCCAAGCTAGGCACACTAATGGCAGCAAGGATGAATCCTTTACCTGCCCGGACTACACCTCTGCTGATGCTGTTTAATGCTGATTCATTACACTGTGGGTAATGAATAAATCTGTGAGCGAATTTAACAACTGATTTTCCCAGGCTGGCAGGCCGGCTCAGACCAGGCCAAACAAGCTCCCGCTGAGCCAGTGACAGGTTAAACACGTGCATTCCTCAGGATGTGCCTGAATGAGTGACTATCCTGGAGTCTGCATTCAGGTTATGAATCATCGGAGTTTAGGTGTGAAATGGTAACAGCCAAGCCCTGGTAGGGTATGTCAGGAGCATAATGGTTTTTTTGTGAATGAATTGCCAAAGAAAAAGGTGTTGCAGCTGCCAATGAAAAAGCTAGCTGTGATGGAGGGTAATTTTCAATAGAAAATTCAGAACATGAACAAAGCCTAAAGCCTTTTTTTGTTCTAATGACGGTGGAAGCAGCAAGCTGTAAAGACAGCACCTTTCAGAACAACTGCTTTTTATGAGTTAAGCTCTAGATGACATGCTGGAAGGGAAATATCTTGCTCTATCTCATGGCAAATGAACACTTCTGCAACAAAGACTATTGCTAGATGGGGCCACTTGCATGTTTCAGTCTCTCACATGCATTTCTGGATTGTTCATATTGGCCATATCAGCATGCCTGGACTTACCTGCCCAGGCACAGTTAGCTTGGTAGAACCTGAAAAGACTGAAGGAAGCAAAACTTTACTGGATGAAGCAGTCCCTTCTATGGTGTTTGGATCGTAGCCTTCTCCCTTGAAAGTGATCACAGCTGATTCACCTCCCAGGATGTGGATGGGAACGTCAACCTGCCTTGGACAAGAACAGGGTTTTAAGTCCAGAGTCATATTTGTGAGAGATGTGCAATAAGCTAATATACTTGCTAATGGACTAGTTTAAATACAACATATGAATGGATGAAAAGAAATCCAGTCTTTTGTTCTTTCAGGCTTTGCCCTTCCCTGCTAACTATGAGATGGGAAGAGAGTCCCTCTTGGAGCAAAAGTTGAGTTTTAGATTTATTTATTTTTCCATGCATCCACTGCAGAGTGGGGCAACTAATGGTGATCCAGCTCTGGCCCTGCCTGCCTGCTGCAGCCTGGGACAAAGGTCTTTGGAAACACTGTTTGGAGAGGCCTGCAGCAATGTACTCTGCACTGATAAAAGACACCAACTTCAGTCTCTTTGGTGAAGTTACTGAAGGCCAAGAATGACCCACAGTCTGATCAGATACTGTTGATATCCTCAGTCACGGTTTGATCCTTGAAAAATAGGATGACTTTGATTGTGGAAGAAACCTATTCTTTGGGAAGAAGAAACTTCGGAGATAGAAATCTATCTGCTCAATTTCCTGAACAAACCAGCCACTCACTAGCTTTCAAGACTCTTTGCTTCCTGAATGAATGGAGCTCAATTCAGCTGCAGCATGACATGGACCAGCCATCATTAACAGATCTAAAGAGTTTTAGGCACACGACAAAAGAAATAAATGGTTTCTAGCAATCATGAGGAGGGTCTTACCATGTATGTTCTAGCTTCCAGTGGTGAGAAGATCCACTCAATGTGGCCTGTTATGCCAGGGGGGATTTCACCTCTAGGAGTTAGGCAGACAAACACAGGATGCTGAAAATTCTCCTTCTGGATCTTCATAACCTCGTCCAGCTGAACCTCAAATATCACCGGCACGGAGCCGCCATTGTAGAGTTCATAAATCTAAAGTGAGTGAGAGAGAGCAGAGCTTCTTACATCATGCACAAGTTCAACTAGTTAGCACTTCCTCAGAGGACTCTGATAAGCATTAATAATTAATTAGGCAGCTTGTCTCCTAAGAATGAGGAGACCTCATAGTGTCAAAATTTATCACTGAGGTTCTAATAGGAGACTGTGCTGAGGGTTTATCACCACCCATGTACATTAATAACTACAGTGCCTCTCCTAGTGGTGCCCTGCAAATTCAGTCTAGTAGAAAATGAATACAAATTAGCTAAAGGGATCACTGTAAAGCAGATTACTTGAAATGCAAAACCACTCATATTAAAGTGATCTTAATTCAATTCAGACTTGTTCATTTCTCAAGTAAATTAGGTAGAATAGAATGAAAGCCACCTTTTTGCTGAATAAGTGCTTAAGGAAGTTTAATTCATTTACTAAAAAGCTAATCAGGATTTATTTCCAGAGTGCCTGCCGCAGCTAGACAGGTTTTCACTTGGATCCAGTGCATGCAAGAGAATAAGGGGATGGCCTAACACACCTCATAAGCATTCTGGCTAGAGTTAAAGCCAAATCTTGTCAAACTGGAGATGGTGAAAGGTACTTCCCCTGCTGCATATCCCCGGAGGCATTTCCAGACTCTGCTAGCTCTCCTGTAATGCTTTCCTTTGGAGGCCATTCTGTTTTCTGGGAAATGCCTTGGATACTGCTTATCCTCGGGACACAGTAACACTAGCTCCTTCCCCCCACTTGCTGCTGGGATTGGCCTCAGGATGCTCACCTGTGTGGGGGGGTGGGAGGTCCCAATGGCAATGGGTGTGAAGAGGTGCTTTGAGGATGTAAAATGAATATACTGCTGGCCCTCTTCCACTGTCACACCGCTGAAGTTCAGCTACAGTAGAAACAAACACAGTCACTTTCTTACAGGGGCTTGGTCCCATCATGAACAATTGCACAAGGACTCTGAAGGACTTTGCAAGTTGAGGTCAACAGTTACAGATTTAAGTAGTCCTAAGAAAAAGGCAAGGAGACAGAGAGCCTACTCAATGGTTGGCTCTCCTCTGAAAGGTTTTTACATCTTACTTCAGAGAGAAGGTACTTTTCTCTCAGCTGTCAGGCACTAGCTTCAGTGTTCCTCTGTGCAAGTATATCGTAGAAATTCTCCATGAATGAAAGTGTCTGAACTGTACATAAGACAGTGTGCAGCTGTGACAAATCCTTTGGAAACACAGGATTTTAGGTAAGTAATGGTTTCCTCTTGGAAAGGACCATCTGGATGTCTTCACTCTGGAGGACATCCTACTCCAAGAATATGTCTAACAGTCCAAAAACTGCAAGGAGATCCCAGCTGAATTTTGAACAATCAAGTAATGATCAACAGCAAAGCAGCCACAAGGCACTTCAAGCAAAGCAGAGATTTGCAGAGCTATTTCATGGAAAGGAAGACACACGGTATTCTGCATTTTGAGAAAACTGCAGTCAGCCTGGACATGAGTCATGATGCATGATTTCCTGCAGGATCACCCAAAGCACCCTTGAGCTGTCTGCCTTGAGGTAGAGGCTGCAAAGCAGTCACAGAGCTAGTAAAATCTTTGCATGGGCCAAAGGGAGATAAGTTGCTGCAGTTCGTAATTAGCTCAAGCATGGCTATTTTTCAAGTGCATATGCAGAAGATGGAGAGGATGTTAGCGATGGCAGGTGGATGCCTTGGACAGACCCCTGCAGGAGATATGGTATCAGCTGCTTAAAAAGAGCAGAGAATGCCAGTTCCTCTAAAACAACCCATTCTGTTTTAGCTCCATAAGCAAAGTGAGGAGGGAGAAGGGACTAGAAGTACAATGCTAACAAGGTCTCGCATGGGATCTTCTCAAAGCAGTACATGAGCATTCAGCCTCCTGAGAGCGTCAGCAAGCCAGATGAAGTGCAAACAGGAAGAGGACCAAAGCTGGTGCTTTCAAACTGCAAGGGAAAAAGGGTCAGGAACCTTCCTGAGCTTTAGGAGTAAAATACCCATTTGTATTTGGTCAAAAAAAAACCTACCTTGGATTCCACTAGACCAGAACTACTGAGAAAAAATTGCCACCGATTTTCATAGACACAAGATGCAACATTCAGAGGACTGTCAGTTAAAGGAAGACAAATACAGAAAAGTAAAGACCTGCTGCAATCAGTTCTCCTTCCACAGTGCAGAGATCTTGTCTCACAGCAATGACTTAGAACATGAGAAGGGCAGGGATGTCAGATTCCCCAGAGAGCAGAGCTGCCTGGAGAGCATGTGGCAGAGGTGACAGCATCTCACAAAACCTAATTAGCAGCTCTGAAGTGAAGCACAAACACTTCAAATTTATGGATGCTCTGTGCTTGGGGATTCTCCCTGGGAATCCAAGCTTTCTCTCCAGTGAGTTCTGGGAACCAGCCTACCTCATCCTGCAACACCTGCAGCTGGCTGAGCTTTTCCTACTGAAACTGCTGAGGGCTGCAGATTCTGCCTGGCCAAATGATCCTGGAGCTCTGAGAACAAGGTCACATCTGCACTCTTACAGGCAGGCTATGTCAGTGAGGCAAAGGACAACCTGTGAGAGCACTAGGCAGCAAGAGGCCCTGTTTCCCTACTGTGCAAGGGATTGGGTGACACACAAGTCCCATAGAAGTTTCATCCTGCAGCCGGAAAAAAAATTGCCAATGGGAAATCGGTTTGAATCCTTCAGAGCACCTGTAAATCTAGCTACAACACAGGACTGAAAGCTGGCCACAGAGAGGGAAGTGAGTAATAAAGAGGGAGCTCCTCCTAAAGGTGAAGCAGACAGGTTCTGTTGGTGAAGCAGAGGAGTGGGAGGTCAAAATCTGACCACATGGATAGAACCATAACAGAAGTGAATTTGGACCTCCAAAAAGTGAGGCATTGGCTTGCAGCTGGCTAACATCACTGCTCTGAAGCCAGGCAATTTGGAATTTGACAGAATGACCAAGCAGTACCCAGCCCAATGATCTCTACCTTGCTTATTGGTGTTTTCTCAACTTTCCAAAGCTTAACTTTTGGCTTGATAATAACCAAAATGTCACCCCAAGGTTACCTTCCCTTAAGGTTAGCTTATGTTCTGCACATTTCACCAGATTCCCAGGTGAGGATCTGCTATGCATGAGCTTGCTTAGAGCAGTCTCTGTCATGAGACCTGGCAGCTCTGTGCCTTTCATGCCATGACTGAAAGGACAGAAGGCACACTGTTCAGCCTCCTGAGCTGCCCTCTCTGCAGAGGGAGGAACCTTTTCTACTCACACTTTCTGATATTAGCAGTTAAGTACTGGCACTCAGGGATATTTTATCATCCCCAGGGCCTCCCATGCTTTTTCAGCCCCTTCTGCAGTGACAACATGAGGTAGGGTGGTGGTCTCTAGTAGCCACCAAAGCAACTGGCTATGTGGCAAGAGAGGATGTGTGCCCTACAGGCTTCTGTGTGCTCCAAAGCCTATTCCCTCACTGGCCAGCTGGTGAAATGCCCACAGCCACTCTCAGGATTGTGCCAGGCAGGCAGAGCACAGGGAGCCTGTCCAAGGGCTTTGAGGGAAGGCACAGTTAAGCCACTGTTTGAATAGCTTGGTCAAAGGGTTGGATTTTCAGCTGACAACAGTCCTGAAAGAAAAGAAAAATAGAAGAGATGTGTGAACACTATGTTCTCATAGGAAACTTCAGAGACAGAAAGTGAGGCTCAGCTGGGCATGGGCTATGCTCCACAGAGCACAAGGTGACTTTGACTCTACATGACAGTTTGAGAAAGGGGGAAGAGAGAGAAAAGAGTTACAAGCCTGAGGAAAGGCTCAGGGAAAACACACTACAGATCAGGTGTGGGGTGCTTTAGCAAGCAATGAAGCAAGATGCATGAGTAGGAAGCTCCTCTATCACTGGAAGAAGAAATAAGTGGGTGGACAAAGGCAGCAGGGCTGCAGTGGGAACAACCAACCAGTGATGCAGGGAGTACCTTCTGGGTCTGGGGAAGCAGCTGCCTCCATACCTCAGAGCTGGAGTTGCTTTGCCACCTCATGCTGGCCTGTGTGTGCCCAAATTGCAGCCAGTGCGGGTGTTACTTTTGGAGAAAAGCACATTCCAGGGAGACTGAAGAGTGCAGAGACATGATGAGATGGGGACAGTCAGGAAAGCTGTGTAGGAGTGAAATATGATGGGCTGCAGATCTGAGCTCCATGATCACTGCGTGGAAGAACTCATGGTGACACAAATGAAACCAGGGGAAGCAAGCACAGATATACTCAAGTGTGGAAAGCATGCATGGACTGTAAAACCCAGGAAGGCTGGTTTGGGCTTCAAGATGGCTTGGAAGAGGAAGCAATTCTGTACTAACACCACCAATAAAATACAAAGGTTAACAAACAACTAAACATAATAATAGTAATAACACTAAGAATAACTGCAACAATAATAAACAATAATGATGATAATAACAACAATTATCCTTTTACTGGAAAAAACAGCAGATGCTATATCAAGAGCCGTTTTGCCACTGCACTGGCACATCACACTGTGCTGAAACCATGCGTTTGTCAGGGTGTTGGTTTTATGTCTCTGCTTGTCCCTCTGTTACTGCCTGGCCAGTGCAAATTACAGGGGAAGGCCACAGCCTCCTACATATCATGCAGCTTCTGGGGATTTTAATTCAGCTCCTACCTGCTGCTGTTCTGCAAACAGAAGCAAAAGACACCTGCTATCTTACCAGAATCTCACGGCCATAGGAAACCTTCAGCAGGACAGGGAGGCTATCAATGCCAGTGAAATCATGTCTAACATGAAAGAAGAGACAGAGGAAAACATTAGAAACCAACCTTGTGCCCAGGGTGATAGAATCAGGGTCACACAGTACATTAGAGACAATTCAATTCCCAGCTAAAGAGTCACTGTTGTGTAAGGGCCACTGAGAGAAGGAGGGAACTGCTGTGTTTGGGTGGGAATGAGTGATGCAATGTTGATTTTAGTCATACACCCATTTAGGGACCCAAGTTTCTAATGGCTAATGCCATTTGAAATGCCAGTACTTCACAGATCAGGTCTGTTGTGAAAGGGGAGGTGTCAGCTTTCTTCATACCCTCCACAGGCAGCTCTAGGTCTTGCAGCTCTAGCTGATGACAAAAATATCACTGTATGATCTATGCCACAGGAAGTGCAGCATCTTGTTTGTCTCCTCAACTGTCAGGTCAAGGCAGACCAGGGTCCCCAGCATGTCAGGTTAAACGTCTCTTGCACTGTAGTGTTAAAGGACACTAACAACATCCCCCTGAGGAAGACAAGCTTTGTGTGATCCAGAAACGGGACAAGCTCAGGGAATTTTTACTTGCCCAATCTCTGCTGGGCAAGGGGCATGTGAAGGGAAAGGATCCAGCATGGAAATACAGGGGACTGTGATGGCAGACGCTGTCCTGGCACACAGCATGAGGCACTGAAGTACAGGTAGTTGCCATTACCTGTGTGAGAGCTGGATAGATTCCTCCTGTCCTGGAAGAAGTTTCCCTGACTTTGGGGAAACACTGAAGAGCTGGTTATCCTGAATTCTCATCTCATGCAGCTCACGGGAGCTAAATTCAGCATCCTCTGCCCAGTGCTCCACGTCCAGCTTCTGATCAGAAGGAAACAGAAAGGCCCTAGGGAACCAGTTAGTTGATCAGCAAAAGACAAACAACTTCCCTAGGGCCATAGTCAGCATATTCAAACCAGCCAGGCTCAGCCTAGCTGGTGGACACACACCACATTTTGTCAGGTCTGACCTATAGACCTCTCTGACATTCCTTGTTTGCTTCCCCCCCGCCCATCCAGACCCACCAGCAGATCTCAGTTGCAGCTTCACAACACAAGCTGCAACTAGAAAACCCACCCTCTTAATTTGCAAACGTCTCATAGCCCCTGTGAGCACTTGTATACCCCCTGACAGAAAAGAAGGGGTATACCCCCCTCTGAAAAGAAGGCTGAGCTCCCCAAAGCACTGCTTACCACTCCACAGGCACCACACCCTTGTTCTCCAGCAGGAGCATCACGAGGGTAGGCTCTGAGCCTATTGGAGCAGCCCCAAAGTTGAAATCCAGCAAGAGAGGCGTGTACACTGGAGGGCTCAAGCATGTGCTGGTCACAGGAGAGAAAGAAAAGGTTAAATTGAGACAGGAGGAAGAGTCAGCAGGGCATGACAAGGAAAAGGGTCATTCTATACTGGCTGTCTTCCTTGTAATTCTTATCTGACCTTATTTTCTTGGCCATTCTGGGAGGAAGGAAATGGGGTGTAAGGCAGGGTGTCTCTTTTCAGCTCCCTGGTACATACAACAAAATCACTGACATACTGGAGCTGGTCCACTGGAGAACCACCAAGATGGTTGACGGCTGAAGCACATTACTTACAAGGAGAGGCTGTGTTTGTTCAGCCTTATGAAGCAAGGGCTCACAGACAGCAACTGCACAAGTTGCAACACAAGATATTCCAATCAGATGCTAGGAAAAAAGTTTTTACCATGGAAGTGGTCAAATACCAGAATCGGGTCCCCACTCAAGCTGTGGTTTCTTTGTCCTCGGAGATATCCAGCACTGAACTGGACAAGGCCCTCAACAACCTGATCTAGTTGTTCCTGTTTTGAGCAAGGGGTTAGACCACAGACTTCTAGAGGTCCGTTGCAATTAAATTATTCTTTGTTTCTGTGGCTCCTTTCTAGGGTGGGTAAGCAGAGAAGGAAGTGAATAACTACCTGAAGCAGCTAGGATGGAATAAGAGTGCCACATGGCAGTGAGCTGCAACACAAGCCAATGGCCACAGCATCTCTAGCTGATGCAAGGGACTGATAGATCCTCTGAGCCATTTCCTCATCTTACCTGTGCCTAGTGGGAACTCTGTAGATGAGCTCACTGGGAGTCGGGTCTTGCTTCAAGTACTTATTCAGTATGTCCAAGGAAAAGAGCCTCCAGAGGTGCAACTTGCTGATACCACTGCCACTGCCTGCTGAACAGGCATCTGTGATGCAGAAAGTTGGGTAGACACCTGTTGCTACAATGCAGCAGAGGGGCTGCTGCTCCTCTTCTGTTCTTGTAAGATCTGTAGCTGGGAAGAGAAAGAAATGTCAAAAAGTAGTCATGGACCATTAAGGGACAGCTGCCTGGGATAGCAAAACAGAGAGGCGCTATGCGGACCAAAGAAAGAGCAGGACTTTGGCGGCTTCTGAAAACCTGTAAACCCCTGACTTCCAGTTTTACCTTGACTTCTGCATTTAGAGATCACCAAGACTATGAATGTGATCCTTCTCAACAATGTATTTACACAGGTTAATTATGCACTATGTGAACTCCCCCTTTTTTCATTTAAGCCTACAGCCTAGCCATTTTATGAAGTGCCTTTTGTTTTCAAGCTGAAAATCATAAACATTTGTTTACATCTTGTCTTCTCCATACCATTCAAGTGGTATTGCCATGCTCCACTTTCTAAGCTGGAAACTCCTTGCATAACTAGTGTCTTCTTGTTGCCCACCTCTGAATATTCCTGTTACATACTACACATCGTTACATTCCCTGTTATCCCTCTCCATGCCTTTTCTAGTTAAACTTCCTTCTTTCTCATACAGGGACCAATCCAGATCTGCCAAAAGGACCCCAGCTACATGGGACTGGTTGCATGAAGCTCTCAGAATGTGTTTCAGGACATATTGTAAAAGGCCATGATCACAGAGGAGCAGTGAATCTTGTGACCAGAGCAGAAGGAAACTTGGAGCTCTCCTTGTCTGTGTCTTATGGCTCAATCCTCTCTAATTCCAAAAGGTGCATCTAAAAGGAGATAGCACATAGAATCTGGCTCTGGTGAATTGCTCATCACCAGATTTCTTCAGGCAGAACTCATACACTGGGAACTGTGAAGATCAGCCTGTTACAACCCTGTCTACTTGGTTGGGAGGGAATGATTTTCCCAAAACACCCATCTCTCACCTGTGGGAGTGCAAAGAGCATATTTGATTGACCAGGTGTAATGCAGCCGACGGGCTGGCCTGACTGTTACTTGGACAAAAGCTCTTGACCTTGCAGGGATTGTCCCTCTGGAGTATTCCAGTTCTAGAGCTGTAGGAAAAAAGAGATTGTATGAGCTCTTGGCTCACATGTGTTCAGCACAAAGATCCCTAAGCCTTCCTGCACTTAAGCCACTTCCCTCCCATGCCTAATCAATAGCAACAGTTTCAGATGTTAAAGTTGGGATTCCCAGGCTACAACTGTAGGCAGCTCATTGGGTCTACCTAGCCTGCCTTTGGCCAGCAATAACAGGGAACTTCTGCAGAGGAGGTCCTCTAGAAAGACAGCTAAGGGTTGCATTCCACAGTTTCTCCTGGGAACTCCTTTAACTTTCTTCTCTACTGGAAAAGTACATCTTATTTCAAGGTCCAAGTTGGTCTAACTTCAGTTGTCATGCTCTGAGTTGTGCTTTTGCCAGCAAGACAGAAAAGTCACCTGCAGTAAATCCCTCAGCAAAGGAGCAGACACTTTAAGGTACTTAAAAGAATCAATGCAAGCTAGCCAAACTTCTGAGTTTATGCTAGGTTGATTTTACAGAAGAGAGGGGAAAGCCAAGGCCCCATCCCATGCTAATTCCCTTACAGTACCCAGAGGATCGCTGCGGACCTCCTCGGTGTCAGGAGGCCCAGTGATCAGTTGTTCCACACTGAGGATGTACTTCAGAGAACAGATCCCATCATTTAGCAGTACAATGGTGCAGCTTTGCAGGTCACCAACCAGAACATTTCCAAGGTCCAGGTGCTCCTTTTCTGCCTGGAATACAAACCCGCCATTCAATGGTCACTGAGCATGCAGTTGAGTGTCACCACCACCCATCTCACCACATGCTGATCCTTTGGCACACACAGTGCAGTGCAAAGGGCTGCTTTGTGTAGGATGTGGCATCCCCTGGGAGATGTCAGAAGAGGGCTGCAAGGGCTCAACCCCTCCTCCAAATTCTTTCTCCTACTGTTACTTAGGCTGCTTGCTGAACAGGATGCAGTGTATTCAGGGCTGTAAGTACACTAGCTGGCCAGCTGTATCTGGGACAAGCGCTGAGGTACGTCTGCTGGTCCCTCCATGACTGCATTAAGAGTCTCCCTCTCTTCTGGGCAGTCATCCACTCACATGCAATTTATAATGACTCAGTGTCTCTAAAACATTACCACCTATCTGTCCAATGTGATTGACATGGGGCAATGACATACTAAGTATTATCTTATTTAGCTCTGGTTCCTTAAGAAACTTGCCTGAAAATGAAGATCTGCAGATAATGAGAGGCAAGCCAGGTGGATGTGTGCTGGCTACACCACTTGAACAGTTAGGTCCACTACATGTAAAAATCAGATTGATAGCAGGACAAATGGAGAAGGAGAGCAGACAGAATGAGAGGAGAGAGCTCCAAGTCCAAGGAGCTAAATAGCTTGCTTGATTCAGTCTGGAACAGAGGATTTGAGAGCAATCCAGAGGATTTGTACAGGTCACATTTGAACTGGCAGGACATTTACATCATGCTGTTGCCATTAGGCTGCCAGTTCTGACATCTCCACTGAAAGCAACAGCTGGGAATTTTGCTGTAAATCCTTATTACTTGCCTCCAGTACAGATTGTGCAGAAAGGGGAAGCCCAAAACCCGCATCCTACCCTAGTATTCCTTTACACTACCCAGTGGGTCCCAGTTCCTTACCCTGATGGTGCCCAGTGCCCCCTCTCCAACAATCCGTAAGGCATAACAGACAGTTTCAGGACACATGGGGTCTGTGTTTTTTCTCCTCACAAACACCTTAGCTCGCAGCAGATACTTGATCTCCTTGTCAGGAGTGAAAGTCCATGCCTGAGCCTGAAATCATAAAAGGGAGTAAGAGTGCTCACAGGAGCTCCAGATCAGAGCCAGACTTATACACCACATCAGTTGCATTCAGTGCACAGTCATTTCCTCTATTACAGCCAACCTAGTCCTCCACAGACAATTCTGGAGACACTCTCACTTCAATCCTTCATCATCACTGCCTGTGTCAAAGGTTCATATTGGGAATGCACATTCAAATATCCAAAGCCAGGCTTTGGAGATGTGCTAGTCCTCACTACTCCAAGCAAGCACTCAGGGAATATGGTAGAAGTTTAGAACCTGAATTTACGGATGGGAGAACAGAATTAAAAAAATCAGAAACCCTCTTGTGTTCTCATTTTTCTTCTGTCTATTAGCATCTCCTGGTGCATGACAAAGTCGCTGCTGTGTTAATGCCCAGTCCCCTCAAGTGTATCATTTGTTAACCCTGTTTAAGACCCGTTTTGTTCTGTAGTCAAGGACAGTGTCATCGTGTTTGGGAAAATCCATATCATAGGAACCAGAACAACTGCAGGTACTGGCTAGCAACCCGCACTAAGACAGGTGTTCTCCAACTTTAGCATTAATCACCAAATGATTGGCAGCCCTCATATTTCTGCCCTAAATATTCCATACCTTTATTGTAGAGAACAAAATACTTGGCACAACTTGAACTTACCATGGCTTCATAGGGCTGGAGGATCCCTGCAGTGGGACTGACAGACAGGATCTTGCTGTCAGACTGACGGATCTTCCATGTGAAAACCATGGGTAGCCTTGTACGGTTTTTTATGGTATACATTCGTGTAAAAGAGGTCCCTATATAGACAGGTTTGAAGTATAGATTCCCTTCACCTTCTAAGAGCAAATTAAGGGACTCCCCACAACTCTGGAGAACAATTTCCTGTAGAATTAAGGGGAAAAGTATCACACATTAGCCTCTGGGAACACCTTGCAAAGATGTTGCTCCTTCCAGTAGAGAAGCAAGAACAAAACTGGGTCTGAGGGACGAGGGGAAGGACTTTAGGCTATGCTGTCAAAGAGGGCCTTGAGCACAATGTAGTACATTCTAGGAGATGGAAACCAAGGGAATAAGGGGTACAGGGTGTCTGGCAGCACAAGCACCTTCTATCTGCAGTGTTGACCCTGCCCTAAATTTTAAAGGTATTCTTTCATTCCTATTTCCAAAGGGAAAAATCTAAACTAACCGTTAGGAGATATAACAGGTATCACTGTGAAAAGGGAAGATTACAAGGGAACAAAGCTTTGTTCACTACTCCTTCCCTCTCTGTACCTTGGTGTATCCAGGGTGAGAGTTCAGCTGCAAAGGCAAGATATGCTGCTGTGAAAGTGTGTTAACTGGGTGGGTGGAGAGAAAGAAAATCTGGTGGCCTCCTGGAATGATGTATCCTGAGCAGGGCTTGACCAAAAGAGAGGGACAGGCAGCTTGGTTCACACTGAAGGTTATCAGAGAGGTGCCAGTGTTCAAGAGTAGCATGCTGCAGTAGGTATCTGTGTTAGGAGCCACAGGAGGAAAAGTCTGGTGGAGACAAGAAAGAAGGGTTGTTTGCACTGGGTTTAGAAAACAGCTTAAAGAAAAAGCTTTCACTGTATTGAATTCCAGGTTCCAACAAGCATTATCCTGAGTCTACGGAAAACTTTGTAAGAGCTTCTCTTCAAAGAAAGAAAGGAAATCACCCAAGGGTATGCAAATTATGGTCTTTTCCATTCCCACACTGGCCTTCATCTTTCACAGGCTCATGGGACCAGTGAAGTTACTTTCCATTATGCAGTGCATTCTGTTTATCCCATAAGTGGGATGCTGCATGCATAGTGACCTCCTGGATTAAGAATTCCAGGAGACTGAAACTTGCTCCAGCTCGTGAATACCAGATACAGGCTGCATGTCCTGGACTAGCTGAGGAGATTTTCTAAGAGGTTCTCAAGATCATTTTTACTGCCTAGAGAGACAGATCTTGCTTTACATCATAGGAACAATACTTTCTTGTGCTATAGAAACATCAGGAAGAATCAGGGAGGCTTCCACTCTACTTTGTAACCACTTGTTTTCCCTAAGTGTGGGTTCTGTGTGCTGCCCTCCATATTTACCTATGTGCACGCAGAGTACTTGAGGCTCCTGGGAAGGGATTAAACACCATTGTCAGTGCCTATATCCACTTAAACAGAAAGGAAGGAGATCCCAAGAGCTTTCGTCTCAGAGCTAATGAGCTGCTTAGTGAATCCTGACAAACTGGAGGCTGGGAAGTTAATGCAGGAGAAGGACCATCCTATTTCTGTAATAAAGCAGGAGTCTTCACACCATCAGAAACCACCTAAGCCACATCTAAGGATGGTGCAATGGACACCAAGTGAAGACTTCAGAGGTAAATACTAAGCATCTATACAAAGATCTGAATGTCACTCACACACACCTTGGGGACATCCAGGATGTACTGTGGGATGAAATGCTCCCGTCCTTCTTCAAATGTGTGTGCTCTCAGCTTGACAGTTAGGCACCAGGATGGACAGATGGTGGCGTCTTCCTCAATGCTGTTGTAGTGTCTCAGCACCTGCAGGCATGCAAGGAACAGAACAGAGTGCATGCAGGAAGGCAGTGTGGCAGGGTGCCTTCAAGTGCATTCAACATCACAAGCAGCAGTTCATTTCAATGACATTCTCTGGGGCTGAGGAATTTACATTTTCAGGGAAGAAAGGCTAACCAACGCTGGATGAGGAATATGAGAGCTGCTTTCCCAAAGCAGCTGTATTTTAGACCCAAAAGACCACTGAATGACTTTCAAGCAGAAGGACTCATCCGAGCTACTCTGTAGTACTTGTGTAAAGGTTGCCTTAGGGAAGGGCCTACAGATGCTCCTCTAGTGCAGTTTGAGGTACTTGCAGATGCTAAAGCTAGCACTCAGCAGTGAGTCACTGAAAATAATCAGCTGTCCTTTACCTGAGCCTAAGAAACCCCTGACTCAAAGGTTACTCCCAGATAGCCTTCACACTGGCTTAGAAGGGGAAAAATGCAAGAAGAGTAAACAACAAAGTAGTGAAGATCTCTTTCACCTACCAGGATGTTTCTGGATGCTAAAACTCCTGCAATTGCAACCTGTGTGACATGAATCCCACATCACATGGGAGGAGAGGCTGCAGTCATATACAATGCCTTCAGTGGCTTTACTTGTGGAGGCCAGACACAAAAAACAAGTTACTGCTCATCACTCAGACCACAGCAACCATTTTTGTGGAGGCTTCCATCCATGCTAATAGTGCAGTAATTCACAGTAATTCCTCCTTCAGTGAGGTGTACATTACTTCACGTTCACTGGGAGTAAGAGCAAGTGTACCTGTCTGTGCAGATGAGCTGTGGCTGCTTGCTGATTTCCCTTTGCCAGGACACAGGTGAAGGAGAAATTTTAACTTACCAGTGTATCAAAGCAGTGGCCAAAGGAGTTAGTGAAGATGCTAGTTTGCCAAATTCAAAATAAAAGGTTCCATTTGAATTTTAACTCCCCCAAAAACCTCTAGCCTGCAAACAGTTGCTAGGCACTCTCTGGCAACTGGTCTTAGTAATGCCTACTAACCTTGTAGAAGGCAAAACCTTCCAGCTCCGCTGCATAGAGAGTGTTGAGCTGAGTGGGCTTGAAAATGACACGGAAGGCTGAGGACTTCAAAGGTGGGATGTCGCACATTTCAGGGCTCACTTGGAAGGCACTGCCATGGCTTAGAGTCCAGAAAACAGTGATACTTCCTTTGGTGTGATTGGTCACACAGAGAGGAAGTGGTTTTACCTTGTGAAGCGGCAGGCAGCAACCAAAATCATACTCCCTGGGGCTGACATTAACATGAGGGGGAAACAAGGCCATGTCGCTGGTTTCACCATCGTAGAAATATTCAGTCATAGAGTCAACTTCAAAGTATTCTTTAGGACGCTTGTCCTGAGGGATCTACAGGATGGAAACATCTGAATGTGAACAGGGAAAGTGTGCCTGTGGGAACCACCAGGCACTACAGTCCTGATTACCCTCCCAACAAGAGGGCATGCACTTCAGTAACAGTTCCCAGAACAGGTCAAAGTCTATGCTTCAGGGAGGCTCCTGTTTGCAAACCAGTCCTCAATCTGAAACTACACAAACGAAAAGAAGACTCTGACTGAGGTAAAGCCAGAAAGTGGATTACTGCCTGAGCTTGGTAAAGATAGTGTTGGTATGTGCTGGGAACATTAACTAAAGAAATCATTCTGGCACCCGCACGTCCTTCTAGATCTGTTTGGCCAACACAACAGAAGCCCAACATCTGCAGAGAAAAGCACAGGAGAATCTTAGATTCCAGGGAGAACAGATCATACCTCGGGGAGCAGCATGAGGGCTCCCTTTTCATCCATCTGCAACTTCCCATCCTTCAGCATCGCACTCACAATATCAGGGGGGTAGAAGGTCAGCCCTCTCACCATGTTGGTTCGGTACCAGGAGAGGTGTCTTGCCTGAAGGATGGCTGGCTTAGCCGTGTCTGAATGGCAGGTACCAAAAAAGTCCACATACAAGGGTTCCTGGGAAAACACCAGAAAGAAAAAGAAATAAACAGCCCTTCTGTGATGGCTTTGAAAGTTACACCATTCCGGTATCTCATTTCCCATGCCTGGGAAAAGCTTATCTTATGTGGCCCAAGAACTTTCTTGAAACTGGAGTGAAAGTTAAAGATGCTGAGTGCACAGCTGTACAGCTAAATTTGACTCAGAGACCTAAACAAACAGGAGCCACTGAGGATGCACCTCACTCTACCCATAAGCATTACTAACTGCCTGTCCACATCAGCCCTCTAACTGCTCATAGGAACCTGCACCATGGGGATTCTGCTCAACAAGAGCTTGGGTCCTGCACTTGGGTCACAACAACCCCATGTTGTGGCTTGGGGAAGAATGGCTGGAAAGCTGCCCTGTGGAAAAGGACCTTGGGTGCCGTTCAACAGCCGGCTGAACATGAACCAGCAGTGTGCCGAGGTGTCCACAAAGGCAAATAGCATCCTGGCTTGTTCAGCAGGACTAGAGAAGTGTTCTCCTTCTGTGCTTGACACTGGTGAGGCTGGACCTCAAACACTGTGTTCAGGTTTGGGTCCCTCACTACAAGAAAGACATTGAGGTGCTGGAGTGTGTCCAAAGAAGGGCAACAAAACTGGTGGAGGGTCTAGAAAACAAGTCCTGTGAGGAGCAGCTGAAGTAACTGGGGTTGTTTAGCCTAGAGGAGGTTCAGGGGAGCCCTTATTGCTCTCTACAATTACCTGAAATGAGGTTGTAGTGACATGGAAGTTGATCTCTTCTTCAAAATAAAAAGCCATAGGAAATGAGGCCTCCAGTTGCACCAGGGAGGTTTAGATTGGATATTAGGAAAAATTTGTTCACTGAAAGGGTTGTCAAGCATTGGAACAGGCTGCACAGGGAAGTAGAAGTCACCATGCCTGGAGGAGTTTAAAAGATGTGTAGATGTGGTGCTTAGGGACATGGTTTAGTGATGGACTTGGCAGTGCTAGCTTAATGGTTGGACTTGATCTTAAAGGTTCTTTCCACCTTAAATGATTCTATGATAGGTATCAATGGAAATGCAGTTGGAAGAGATCTCTGGGGGCTGCTGAGAGAGGCAAGCCTCAGTGGGTTATATGGGAAGATCCCTCTGAGCTATCACAGCGATGAAGCCACCCTTTGCCTCTCATACCTGATGGTGGACAAGGCACACCACTCTGCGGTGATAGCTGATGGGGTGAGTGGGTCGAAAGGTCACCTTCAACACTAGTGTTGTTGTGCCCTCCAAGACTCCACAGGGGCGATCCAAGGAGAAGACGCTCCCTGTGACACCAATATCAAATTGGTAATAGGCTGGGACATCTGAGGTGTTGCTGATTTCCAGCATCCGCATCAAACTTTGTCCAAGGTTGATCCAGTCAAAGTCCAACGAATCTTGATGCAGGGACACCGAAGGACCTAGCACAATGATATGCAAGACAGATCTGGAACCTGTCCTAGCTGTTTTATCAACATGTCACAACCCACTGCTGCACTTAACTGATCTTCCCAAACCGGAATCACCTCATCAGCAAACCCACCAGTCCTAATGTCCAGCAAAAGGCAGGACAATCACTTCTAACAGTCTCACATCTGTCTCAAGCAAGTATAAACCCCAAACGGTACACCAGGGACAACCTGGAGCTGAGCAGAAGGTAAGTCTGTGACTGAGGGCTGCAACAGTCCCTAGTCCTTCCTCAAGCACTAGCCCTTCCCCTGCAGTGCTAAGAAGACGACAGGGAGAACAGGGAAGGCTTTCACTCTGGTACCTTTACATGAGCCAGTCACCTTCAGGACAGTCTGCAGGAGGTATCCAGCAGATGTGATAGTGAAATAGTCAGTACTGTGCTCTCCTACTATCTGAGGCTGAAATTGTATGCACAAGACCAGCTTCCCTTTGGCAGGGACAATGCCATGGGACACATCACAAGAGAAAACATGATCTTGAAGCAGAGGATCTTCTGCTCTTTCTATCCTACATGGTGCATCAACCTGCAAGCAGAAAATAAATAGGTTAACAAAGGAGCCAACAAGAGCCAGGATGGCCCTGAATGCAGGATACTAACCAGTGAAGAACTGGGTTTTCAGCAAAGCTGAACACCACCAAGAACACCAAGGTTACCGCAGCACAGCATGGGAGTGCTGTGCAAACCTCTGCCACCCTGTCCTGCTGGAGCACTGGGAGTACTGCTGGCAGCAAGCTCCCACAACGTGCTCACAAGTCAATACAGGAGAATATCCTGGTGATCCCTGGAGTTGGAGTGCCCCTCTTGGTAGGGTGGAGGATGGCTCAAGGTGACTCCAAGGGCCAAAGCAGCTTAAGTGACTGCTGTGAATGGGAGACAGGTAGGTAGACAACAGGTACTTCCACCCACAGTTCCACCTTGTCTGGGGATCCTTTCACAAAAGAAAGGACTGGCACTCTGATACCTTCCTCAAGTCCCTTAGAAAAAAAGGATCCTGGTCTTTTCATGGGGATGTTGACCACCATTGCAGTGTGAACCAGAACAGTACAACAAATGACTAGGTCTTTGCCTCTTCCGAGTTGCAGAGCCTGTGGAGCGCTCAGCACTGCTCAGCATGTTAGCAGTCTCTGAGTACATCTATCTTTTCGTGGGTTGAGCTGGTACAGAGAACAAGGTGCCCAAATACAGCTCACTTGACTTTCAGAGCAGTCCACAATTCACAGGGCTGCAGTCCACTGAGGACAGCAGCAGATCCATCAGCAGCCTGGGACACATACATGCCAATTTAAGACTGCCACAACTGTCACAGGGGACTGATGGGCTTGTCCAGTGTGAGTAGGAGAGCTGCAGGGTGTAAAGGACAACAGTGGCTGCCTGATCTGGACCAAGCACAGTGGGAAGAAGACAGGAACTGTCATACCATGCTGCACATGGATGTACCGTTAGCACTGCAGCTGGAAGGCAAAGTTGAATGGCCTGGTTGGTAGGGGAAGGCTCATCAGCTCTGTTTTACTCACATTCCCATTTGGAACAGCATTAAGGGAGATACTCAAAACCACATATCCCAGGGAAGTGTGCCAGCATGAGAACTTCTCAGAAGTCTCCCACTCGACATACCACAGACATGTTGAAGATTTCTACACACTTCTCCACAGTTGTCCCCACTGGCACTGATCCAAAGCACAGCACATCCTGAAACTTTCCAGGTTGTACACCTTCTTTTTCTTCCCCTACCACATTCACCTGCAGATAGGGGTATTTGGCTGTTAAAGGGAATAATATATTGGGTTAAGAAAGAGAGGTGGAATTTCCATCCCTTGAAATTCAACGCTCAAGTGGAAAAGCCTCTGAACAATACCAGGTAACTCTGAAGTTAGATCCAACTTTGAAGTTGCCCCTGTTTAGAACTAAACAATCTCCCTTCCAGCCTTAACTTACTAAACTCAGTCACATCTTTCATCAGTAGCCATGTAAGACACTTCAGGGAAGGACTTGCTAATCAAACCATTGCTTATTCTAGCTTGAATCCAGAAAGCTTCAGAAGTTTTCCTCCATCTCTCTGTCTAGCAGAGACAGACAAGAGAGACTGAGTGCAAAGACCAGGAATTTCTGGAGGTTTCCGCACTGTGCCAGTGAACTTCTCTCATTTTTGCCCCTCTGTCAACTTAAGCAGGCTCCAGAAATGTTGGTTTGGCCAAAGCACGCCACAGTGCGTATCAGACCCTGTGTCTTTTCAGATCACATTTTCAAATTGGCAAAAGTACATTAGAGAATTTCACAGGGCACTTTCAAACCACAGACTTCATTTGCTCATCAGTAGGCCGAGCCAACTGTGGCACAGTCTCAGAGCACAGCACCTCCATTTATCCCTGTGGAATGCTATTCCATAGTTTGGGATGATACACACTTCTTTGAATGTTAAATGCAATAAGGACTCACACAGGGCTTTTAGCTGGATAGTCCTCTTTCGTTTCTCTTCACTTCCAAACCAGCATGTTGCTGCTACATCATACACTGCAGCCACCTTGGGTTGGAAGACCACTTTGACCATGCACTCAGCACCTGGGTTCAGTATGCTGTAGTCAGGAATCATGTAGAAAGGGCTTGGCGTCTCCCAGTGAAACACAGTGACGAGATCACTAGGAAATGGAGACACATCTTAAGTGGACAAATGTATCTATAGCTGCCTGTGCAATCACACAGAGGATGGACCTTCCCAATAGGTCGTTCAGTTAGGATGTGAAGCAACCACTGTTGAATGGCAGAATCCCCAATGCACCTGGCCAAATATGTGATGATGAGAAGAAATTTGTCTCTAGTTGCTGCAAATGCTCTGTTCACACTTTCACGAATCTTAACTATTATATGTAAGGACTCTATTAATGACCATAAAATTTCTCAGCTTCATCATGTGACAGAAAAAAAAAAAAACAAACACCAAAAAACCCAAAACCAAACCAGCTCCAGAATGAAGTATTTGCTTTTACTTCTACTTAATTGCAAGTGAACATTTGTTCCTCTGTTATATGCCCAGGTGAGAAGAGAGGACCAAGCTGTTTTCTTAATACCTCATTCAGCTCTCAAGAACTCACTTTTCTTGTTTGATTTGTGCAAAGAACATGATACACCACCAGCTTTTCATATTTTATTGATTCCAAGCTGTGTGTTACCATTCATATCCTCCACCACCACCCTGGACCTCTCAAATAGAACAAATGAATTCTCTAAGGGGAGAATGAATCACTTGAAATGGTTTCTGGCTGACACCTTGCCCTGTTGAAGGTACATGTGCCCTCAGTCCTTTCCACCTGCCACTACAGAAGGTGACTTCTTTGGGGAGCACATTTCCCAGCTAGTAAAAGTTATTCTGCTCCTGCTGTAAATGGTTGGAAGTACACCTCCTCCTTGCCTGGGCACTTTTTCACCACACTGCTTTCTACAATACTGCCCGAATGACTGTCCTTCCCTCATTAAAATAAGACAGTCCTTGGTACTTGCAAACATCTTTGCTTCTAAATGATGACTCTAAGTGCCAGAATGCTGCTACTGCTTTGAGAAACTCCATGAACCTAAGAGCAGGCACTGGGAAGACTTCAATTTCTGTATTGCCTGCCTCCAAATTAAAAAGTTCATCTCCAGCACCAGAAACTCCACTGCCATCCCTACAGCATCCCCGTGCTGAGGGAAGATTGGTCAAGTCATAGAAAGATTTAAATATTTCCAGCTGAAGTATTTCCAGCTCATCTCTCCCTGCTCAGCTGGGCAGGCTGCCTTTGACTAAGCAGAAGCCCAGACCTCTGCTTTGAATGTGGGAAGTTAATGGGACAGCATGTTGGTCCCCAATTAGTTCATGTGCATGAAAAGGTTCTCAGCATATGCTGGAAACAGACAAGATGTGAAGTGCCAAGATGTGCCCATGGCGAGATCCAATCTGCACCACCATTTCTGCTGCCTTTTCTGCTATGAGCTCAGAGAAAACAGGTCTGCTGCCTGTCAAGGCAGCCAGCAGATCCAAGAACTGGAAGGAGCTGCATTCATTGGAGAATCCAAGAAGATGGCAAAATATCTGACAAAACAGAAAGGGGCTCTGCCCAGCTACATCTCACTCACCCGATGTTGCGCACAGGGAATGTTATCTCCGTGACATTGTGGACAGCACAGGCAGGCAACTGGACAGCAGCTGGGAAGGACAGACAAGGGTGCGGGAGCGTAGCACGCAGGGTGACAGAGAACTCACCCTCATCCTTCTTAAAGCAGATGTTGTCTTCGTACTCCCTCTGCACAGAAAAGCAAGGGGATACAGCAGTTAGATGGGCTCCATCTTGCAGGTACTACAGCTCCTCCCATGCACACCCATCACCTAGATCTCTGAAAGTGTCAGGGAAAAAAACATCAGCAACAGAGGCACCAGAAGAGGTCCCTGTGCAGGAAGGAGAGCATCTGAAGAGCTGAAAAGAGGCAGGCACTGAGGAAGGTGCTCAGGCATACTCCTCACTCTGTCAGGGAACACACAAACACCCTCAGAATGAGCAGTTGAAGTCCACATTTGTTTCACTTGAATCGTTTTGATGCAGAAAGATTTCTTTCAGTGTTTTCAAAATCTCCATTCAGCTAAACTGAAGCATGCACAATATTTCTTTGAGCTTCACAAACACAGAAATATCATTTTGATTAAGTGCTTTGTCAGCTAGAGACCTAAGCAGATAACACACAGCTTAAAGATGCAGCATTGACAGGACTGTGTACAAATAGCCCCAGGACATCTGCTAACCAGCCGAGATAGAAGGAACTGCAAGATACATGTCTTCCATGCTCCCCAGTTGTTACCTTTTCTGAGTACCAATTATCAGCTAAGAGACCTTGGGCACTCAACACACACAGTCCTTGCTCTCTCTAAGAAAGGGAGCCTCCTGCTCCACTGGTTAATGGATGTAGACGAGCTATTCACTAAAATTGAATGAATACGAGCTATTTCATAAGAGCAACACTGAACAGTTCAGAAAAATCATGATGCTAAAGGAACGGGGTACTGGGAATTTAGCCAGTGATCACACTCCATGCCTAGGACTGAGATTCACATCAAAGACATACAGCTGTGGACAAGAGCCAGAGATCAGCGCTCAGAGCCAAGAGAGACACCAGAAACAAGCTGAAAATCAAGAAAAAATGGATGGGAAAAAGAATCAGGAATCACCGCTGTTAAAAATAAAGCTTAAAGAAACCCACCCCATCCAAAATAAGGGAGGCCCTTCACATATGCCTTATAGAAAATCAGTAGCCCTTCAATGTACAGGCTTTGGGGTCTCCTGTAAGAAAGCAGAGAGTGAGCCCCTCAAACCAAGGTTCTGCACTCAAACCACCCAGCTGAGTTTCCCTGGAATGAAACCAGATGTGGACAGTTCAAGTGCTTTATCTTACTGATTTCATGGCCAGAAGAAGCACTTGAAAATCTGGGAATACTTTTTGTGAGGATCCCTCTCATAGCTAATGGCAAACTCTGCAGAGAAGTCAGGGGTTAAGGTTCTCTGAGGTGCTAACGTGAGGAGAGCAGGAAAACCCCAAGGCCCAGCCTTTCTCTGCTAAAACCTTCCCTAAGGACTCATTCGTTTAAGTGAAAACAAATCAGAAAGGACAAGAGAGGCAGAGACCCACTGCCCCTCTGGAGGCCAGCCTGAGCACTGAGAGCAGTTTTGGTATTGCCACTTTACCTTTTCAATGGGCCGGAAAATGATGGGCAGAGTTAAGGACATACCAGGTCTCAGAATGATCGGCTGTGGAAAAACAGTGAAGAAGAATCTCGTGGAAGGACACCTAAAGATTGAAATCAGAACAAGATATTTTGTCTGAGTGCATAGAGCTGTTGTTAAGTTAAACAGCATAAAAGAGAATGGAAAACATCAAACCCTCCAGACCTCACAATTAGAAGCACTTCACACAGCTGTACCATGGTAGCAAATCAGCAGACACAGGGGCAGAACCCAGGTGTTCTGGAAACCCATTCCCAGCTCCTTGAACAATATTTTACATTCCCAGACCATGCAGCATGAGCAAAACACATTGGGCAGAAACAGTTTCACAGCAGAGAGGGTCACAGGGAGTACTGGAGTGGCTCAACATCCAGTGGATCTCCCTGGAACAATGGTTTTAGGATACACTGGCGACTGGCTGGCATACATCCACAATTAAAATCTCACCAGACTGGAAATGCTCACAGACAGAAGTATCAGCAAAACAGAATTACAAAAAAAAAAAAAAAAAAAAAAAAAAGGATGTTTAATTTAAAATACTTCTGCCAGAAACAAGGGCTGTAATTCCAAAGCTTCTGAATTACCAGGTTTCTCTCATGCTACGTAAGTGTGCATGCGCTGTCTCCAGCTGAATCTGAGAAAAGGTGCTGCTGGGACTGATGCAGCAGGAGGGATGAAGATTCAGTGAGAGCGTGAGGAGAACAAAAGAGAATGAAACTTCCACGCACCTGTAGCTCAGCTTCTGGGTTTTCTCATGAACATTTTTCAAGATCAGGTGTTTGATGGTCTCTTTTCCAAGCTCCCAGCCATGCCACCTGAGTGTTTTGGTCACCTCAATGCCCCAGAATACTCCTTTCTTCTTCTTTGCCTTTCCTGCAGACAGCTTAGGGAGTTGCAACGGGGACATTAGGAGTTTGGTAGGGAGGGGAAATCACTCAAACAGCTGTTTCTCTATGCTAAAGGTTCCCGACTCTAGCAAAGGACTGGAGGAGCCGCCTTGCAGCGAAGGCTGTGTCCGTAGGGGACACCTCCTGGCCACAACGCAAACAACAGCTTCTAAAGGATACCAAGGGCGAGTGAAACAAAGCCTGAAGGGCTTTTTGTTTTTGCCGCCTCCTTGCCCTGCCAGTAAATCACCGCACCGCAGTGACACCTTTGCTTCCCCACTCACCTTCCTGGTGCAACCATAGGACAGCCTCCGAAAAGCGTCAGAGTTTTGGGACTCGCCATGCGCCTGAGCAAGCATCTGAGAAACCAGAGGCAGAAGTCCTCACATGCTGCTCCTGCACCGACAGCCTTTGCTGCACCGCCGGGCCTTCCTGGGGCTCGGGATGGCACACCTCCCTGTAGTGTTCCCAGTACTGTCCCCATACTCCCAGCTGAGCCCAGCCTCACTCACAGCTCAGACCCCTCTGGCAGAGCTCCCTTAGGCTGTTATAGCAGAGCCCTGTGAAGCCCACGATAGACCCACAGAGCCTAGTGGAGCAAAGCCCTCTCTATAGCCTTGCCTGGCCCCCTAAAACTCCAGATCGATGGCTGTGGCACTGCCTGCTCCCTACAGCACGAGCCCGGCTCCCTGGGGCACGACCCACTCCCCTGTAACACTGCCTGGCCCGCGCTGCCGAGCCCGGACCACGGGTCACCGCCAACCCCGGGCCCCCGCCGCCAGCCCAGCTCCCTCAAGCCCTGCCTGGCCCCACCTCGGCTCCGCTGGGGTCCCACCGCCCCAACGAGAGCCCTCCTGGGCCCGGCCGCTCAGCTCCACGGGAAGCCGGCCCGCGTTGCCATGGGGACCAGACGCGGCGGCGTCGTCTCCCGGAGCAACGACGGCGGCCGCCTCGGGTCAATCCCCGGTGAGGGCTGCCCGCGGCGACCACCAGGGGGCAGCAGAGGGACGAGAAGAGCGGGAGAGATGAGGGGGAGATAGGGGTGAGCGGGGCAGATGGAGGGGTGCAGGGGAAGATGGGGGGGCTCAAAGTCAAGTGGAAGGGTGCAAGGAGCAGATAGGGAGGTCTCATGGGTGCATGTGGCAAATGGAGGGATGCAGGGGGGAAATGAGGGGTCTCAAGAGTGCAGGTGAAAAGTTCTCACGAATGTAATGGGGGAGCTGAGGGGTGCAGGGACAGATGAAAAGGGGTGCAGTGGGGATATGAAAGGGAGCAAATAGTGCAGGGGCAGATGGGGACCGGGAGTTGATTGAGGACAGGGAGATGGAGGGGGGCAGGTGGTAGATGGAGGGGTGCAGGAGATGCCGGGGTGGAGGAGAGAGCTCAGGGCTGATAAGGATGGATGCAGGGGAGGGAGATAGCATACAGCTGAGTCAGCAGATGGGGTGCCATGAAGTACGTGGGTGCACAGGATGGGTGGGTGAGGAAGCTGTGGAACTAAGTTTGGGGGCAAGAGAGCATAGGGTGCAGCAGGCTGGAGTGCTGGTGTAAGAGTGGGTTGGCACCTTAACTAGGCCAGGTCACCGTGAGCTCCTTGGAGCATCAGACACAAAAAGTTGTGACCACTGCCACGAGAAGTTGTGAGGCCAAGAAAGGCAAAGGGACACAGGGGGTGAGCCCTGGCTGCACGAGCCCATCCCAGCTATGATTCCCATAAGGTACCACCACCACCATGGGACACTCCTGCATCTTCGCAGTGTCCTGGAAGGCCCTCAAGGAGCAGGAGGACCCCCGTGTCTTTAGTGAGGAGGGCCAGATAGCCCTCCTGTGATGTGCAGGCAGCAGTGGGCAGGATAGCAGGACTGGACATGTCTCACAGCGCAGGGAGGGTGCCAGGGCAGAGGCAAGAAGGAGATGCAGCTTTAATGGCATTTGTCAATGTTCACAATGTGAGTCATCCAGCTCAGCAGCTGTAAATCTGCGCCCCAACTTCTCCAGCATCAAATCGTGTCCTCCGTCCCCCCAGCGCTGGATGAGTGCTTGGCTCCTGCAGAAACAACCTCATAAATAACAGCAACAAAACAAACCCTTCTGCAGCCACAGCAGGCCCGTGTCCACCAGACGTGGGATGAACATCTCCCATCCATCACTTTAATGATTGTACTCTGGAAATTAAACCTGTCATGGCCCATCAAGGTGAACGTTTTAAGCGTGTGACATCCCTTCAGCTCCGCTCCTCCTTCCTGACACTTTTGTTGTTGCTGTTCTTGCTTTCCTTCTCTCCTTTTCCTTTCTGCCCCTGCCACCATTTCCCCCCATCTCACCCCCAACCCAGTGTGTCCAGCTCCAGCCTGTGGTCCTCTCCATGCTCCCCCACTGCTGCAGGGTCAGGCTGTACATCAGTCGAGTAGTAGAGATGTCTTTGGCCCTGAGGCTCCAAAAATCATGGGCTGGCATCTGCCAGCATCTCCATGCCCAGACCTGTGTGCCTGCTGTCGGGGGCACAGCTCCCCTGGAGCAGTAGATCTTTTCTGTCCTGCTGTCCCTGCAAGGGCAATGGTAGGGAATTGGGTACCATCCTTTCCTAGTTCTCTCTCCCATTCTCCTTTCCTGCCCTGTCTCTCCCCTCCTCTACATTTGCTTCTCTCCTGTACCATGTTAGACCAGGCATCACAGGCTCCTGGCACTTGGTCCCTACTCTGGCTCACATCTTCCTCTTTAGAGCAACAGCTGCACCTCCTCAGCACCAGAACGCCCCCACTGGGCATTGCCAGGATCCGGACACCTCCTTTGTGGGCACTCAGGCCCTGCCGTGCACTGGGATGGGTTGCCTGGGGACAGGGGACCCGGGCACCAAGGATTCCACAAACCTAGGGGAAAGCTGCTGAGCTGCCAGCAGCCACTGCGGGTCACTGTTACCCCACACTCCTGTGTGTCCTATCCATCCATCCATCCATCCATCCATCCATCCATCCATCCATCCATCCATCCATCCATCCCTCCCTCCCTCCCCATGCTCTCCCAATATCTACTTCCCCTGTCCATCCCTCTGTCTCAAAAGCATCACATCTGTCCCTCTGTCCAGGACGCTGCTCCACAGCAGTCCCAGCCCCAACCCTGCAAGGTGACAGCCCCACACCAACCCTCACCTGCCCCGTCCATTGCTGACTGGCTGCCAGAGGTGACACGGGGCTCCCCAGGGGCTGCTGCCCTTCAGCAACTCCCACCTCACGGCAGGTTCCGTGGGCAGGCAGCATCCCTGCCACTCTCAGGCAGGGACAGGGAGAAGGTGATGTGTCTCACTGGCAATAAAGCCATTATTGGGGCAGGAGGTGATGGAAGAGATGCTCACTTTCCTCCTCATGCAGACGACATAGGAGATCTGCTAGGAGCCTCTAGCATGCTGAGGACAGGGGCAGCCTGTTTGCTTAGGGGCAGTCAGGACTTAATCCTGGTGCTTCTAGGGAGGTGGCAGGGGGTGTCCATTGTCACCCTGCTATCAGGGGTTGATTTGAGCCCAGTGAGAGCCAGCAGGGTGCCAAGATGATTGTGAAATCAGCCCGTGAAGGGTCTCAGAGAGATTCAGATATCACCAAAGAAAAAGTGGGGCTTACCACAGCAATGAGTGCTCACAAACAGCCTGAGCGCCTCCCTAAACTGAGGAGGGCTCCATCCCCATCTCACTTTGGGGAAATGCCATGCCGCTACAAACAGGCTAAATGCAGCATGGGAAACAGCACTACTGCAGCCAATTAATAACCAGCTCTGCTTTGCAGAGTTGACAGTTTAGGTTTGTCCTACAAGTGCAGACCCCCCCAGGGACACTGGAGATGCAGGAGGAGATGGGGCAGGCTGCCACGCATCCTGGGCATCCTCCTTCCTGGCAAGGGGAAGGGCAGCTGGCACCATGCACGGATGCACTGCTCCAGTCGCTGTCGTATCTGCAGGGAAGGGCAGTGCACAGCTGAAGGAGGGTCCAGGGTCTCTCCCCTCCAGCTGTGTTGTGGGCTGCCAGCTGTGCAAGTCTACTGTCCCCACCCGGTTCCCCAGGGACGATGGCAGGGCACCGCAGCTCAGGAGTAGGGCAGAGCCTCTTGTCCCCTAAGGAAGAGCACAGGCAACTGGATAACAGCTTTATAGGGGAGGGATGTGGGGACTCCCCCAGGTACACACAGAGGAATAATTACGAGTTAAATAGGATCCAAAGACACATAAGTTAAAGGGGGGGCAGGAGCCCTGCAGCCCCCCCTACTCTGCCGAGGCACAGTCTGTGTCTGCCAGCAAAGCGACCCCAGAACCACAGCCCAGCCCCTCTCCCCGGCTGGCTTCATCTGCCTTTCACAACACAGAGCCAATCTTCCTCTTCGTGGCACCCATCTCGTCCTCCTCATCTTCCTCATCCTCCTCATCCCCCGAGCAGGAGGAGTCCGGGCCATAGCTCAGCTGGGCGGCGCTGCGGTGCAGGAAGCCCGGGCCGGGGCTGCACCCCATAAATTCGGTGCTTTCTGTAGCTTGTCCCTGGGGCTCGCCGGACAGCAGCTTCTCGCAGGCTTTGCTGAGCCCTCGTTGCTTCTCAGCTTCCACCTGAGCTCCCTGCTCCTTGGCTTTGCGGCTCCGCTTCCACTTCATGCGGCGGTTCTGGAACCAGATCTTGACCTGCCGAGGGAGAGCCCCGAAGGGAGAGTGTGTCCCTTTGCTCCATCCTGCCCCCACGCACCCCCTCTCTCCTCACCGTCCCTGCATGGAGGCCCTCCCAAAAGCCCCTTTGTTGCGAGTCATCCCGTGGTTCTGCAGGTCTGTGCAAAGAGGCTGAGGTTGTAACGGGGAGAGGAGTCCCTGTGAGGGCTGCTCCCTTCCCCCTGTGTGACTTCTGCAGGATGCCCAAGCACATGAACCAGGGTATGTTAGTTTTAGCCCCACAAAAAGCCACCTCCAACAGTGCGGTGAGGGATGAGAAGGCTTTGAAACCCAAGCTGGAGGTTGTGGGTAAAAAGAGGAGCAGTACTTCTGGGGTGCTCTTCACAAGAGAAGAGCCTGGAGCCCACCAGACAGGTCTCTGTGGGAGACACCCTGGAAGTGGTGCTGATGGGGCAGTGGAATGTGGGGCTGGGGGCAGCCGAGCAAGGGGCATCAGCATTGCCCATGACCTTGACGCTTTGCTCCCTGGCAGCTGGCTGGTGCTACACTCCATCCCCCTGGGAAGAAGGTACCTGTGTCTCGGTGAGCATCAGCGATGTGGCTACCTCAAAGCGCTTGGGTCTGGACAGGTACTTGTTGAGCTTGAACTGGTTCTCCAGCTCCAGGAGCTGCTGGCTGGTGAAAGCTGTGCGGGGCCGACGGCACTTCCCCATCAAGCCAGACTGTGGGGCTGCTGTGGAGCAGATGGAAGGTCAGCGGACAGCAGGGCTGGAGGGACATCCCCTCGGCAAGTAAGCCCGGGATGAGGAGGAAAGCGAGTGTTTCTTCCCTCATCTCCTACCTCAGTAATGGCTTTATTGCCTGACTGATAGAAACCAGCAAGATACCTTATCAGGCCTCGATGTGCAGCTGGGATCAGTCCTGTGACTGGAATTAATCCTCCTTTTTTTATTGCCAGGCGTGCAGGTGGCTGCCCAACTGCCAGGGGCTGCGGGCAGGGCTGCCCGGGAGCACCACTATCTCCCCCGCAGCCCTTGAAGGCAGCGCAGTGCTGAGTCAGGAGGCAGCGGGAACAAAGGGACCTTTGAGAGTCCAGCGCGGGGTGGCTGCCGCACTGTGTTTGATCCCTGCTTATCTCCTCCCGGCTGGCTTTATTGTCCCCCCGGGGTTCAGCTTTTACTGCTTCCCCCAGCACCACAGTGGCAATCATACCCAGAGGTTTGCAGCTGGGAGTAAAGTGCTGGAGCGGTGGAGGGGGGGGGGGGGCACTAGCAGGAAAGGTCCTTGGCACATCCCCACTGTTGTGTCTCAGGGGGAAAGGCAGAGCATCATGGCCCCAGAGATGTCCCCGCTTGGGAAGGGTCACTTCAGCTTGACCACTTTACAGTGCTGGGGCACTATCCACATCATCTCCCTCAGATTCCATCTTTGATCCCAACCTTCCCATCTCCAGAAGTGTCCACAGAACCCTTCACAAACACAGCAGAGACACATGAGGTAGGAATTTATGAAGGGGTCAATAACCAGTCATGATCCGGGTTTGATCCCAAGTACCTGGATGCTGCACAAAACAGGTCAAACAGACAGAGCCCAGGCTGGGCTGACTCTGCAAACTCCTCATGGAATGGACACAACCCTCCTGCACCTGCAGCCCCACGGTGCCAGGAGAGGCAGCCATGGGACCCACCTTGCAGCCACAGGCCAGTTAAACTAGGGACTAAGTAGAGTCATGCTGTGCCAACAGCTCTGACACACACACACACTATTTGGCATACAATGCATATACAAGGCTAACTAGATGATCTTTAGGTCCTTTTCTACTCTAAGATTCCATGAAATGAGAGGCTCAAGATTTTTGGGACAAGTATGAACGTTGGATGAAAGATGGCTCAGCTCTGCAGAGCTCGGCTGCCATCTGGGCTCTGGGTTGCTATGAATGCTCTGTACAAATCCTTGCTGGATACAGGAGACCAAATAGACCTGAAAAGAATCCCTTCAGCTAGGGAAAAGAGGTGACACTGGGGCCAACACCTGTAGGGATGGGGTAGCACATGCTAAAACCTCTTGCAGCTCCTCGGGGTGGGAGGAAGACCAGAGTTGTATCAGAAAGAACCAGAGGGAAAATTCATTTAGTCAGCATTGGTTGGGTCACAACACAAAGCAGCTCTACGTATCTCTTTCTGGGCATGGTGTGTGGAGGATGCTTTGGAGAAAGAGAAGGGAAGAGGGTGTACGCACTTCCCAGCATCCAGTAATCTGAGATTTCTGTGCTTTCTTGAGCTAGAGGCTGTTTTTCTAGGGGTGAAGAAATATATTCCCAGCCTGAATTCCCCACCCCAGTGCAGAAAGTGGAGGGCTCAGCTCCTAAGGCACTGCATCCTGGCTCTGGGAAGCACAGAAATCCTCCAGACCACCCTGAAAGGCTCCTCTGTGCCTCCTTCTGCAAGGTCAGATGTGGCCAGACTGAAAACAGATGTGGGAAGAGTGGAGGACAGAAGTGAGTCTCGATCTCAAATGCAGTGGTCTCTGTCCAGCTTCAGAAGAGGCAGGAAGGCAGCTTGCTTTAACAACACCTCCAAAAGACTCACTCTTGGCTGGTTAAAAGGCTGGGAACTGCTTGGTCTAGCAAGGAAAAGAACAGAAATCTTGCTCAAAAGCCAAATAAATCCAAACAGGATATATCCCAAATGGCTAGCAATGAGGGGACTGACTGCTGGAGCGTGGTCCCTCCAACAGCCCCAGCTTCTCCATCTCAGTGTCTTCAATTGGATTTCAGCTCAGTGGTTTCCATTGTACAGATCCTGACTTCCCTGGACGCCCACCCTGTCTCCTGCCCCTGTGCTGACAAAAACCCCAACTCTCAAACCCTTTGGTGGTGGTGTCGTACAGCTCAAGCCACCACCAGTCCAAAGCTCAGCCTACACAGCCACCAACAAAAGCATGTCAGTGTGGACCTGAACAATCAGAATCTCTGGCCTCAGACCTGCTGTTAGCTTCCCTGAAGGGCCCTGGCTCCTTTGTGTGGAGAGAGTATGAAGAAGGTCTTTAATTTCTCACGAGGGAAGGAGCAAAGGGAGGAGGTGGAGAAAGTGGTGTCTGAGGTACCAAGTAGATTCCAGTTTCCTGTACAAAGAGGAAACTATGCCTTGTGGCTGCTAGTAGCTCCAGCCTGTCCTGCCAGTGTGTTCTGTGGAGTCCTGTACCCTGCTGTCCTGTAGCAGTCTGGTTGGACAGCCTGATAGCAGTATGCACATGGACAGCATCCTCCCAAGAGATGCATTGCAAGCATCCCCCCAGGGATCACCCCTCCCAGTCATTGCCAGCCAAGCTATGCCACCACCATCCCCATCACAACCAGCATCCCATAAAAAGAGTAACTCTTTGGGAATGTTTGCCCTCTTATCCAGCTCCTACAAGAGGATCAGTGACTGCCTCAGCATCATGCCTTTGCTTGCCAAAGGATTTCCTATCTGCCCAGACATCTCCTCCAGTGCTACATCCAGGATCACAGCTCATCGCAATATCCCTGGCAGGATATATATCCAGCCTGGCAAGTCTTGGACCCCTAATGGGTGTTCATCATTTGGCTGCAATACTGGTAAATAAATGGCTGGCCTGGAGCCAGGAATGCCCTCCGAGTCTGAGGCCAGGAGCTCTAGAAGGCAGCTGCCTCCTGGATAATTAGATAAAGCTTATAAAGAATTGTTGGTTTATTTGATACAGTTCCGTCTTCTTGATAACAAGGGTAATCCTAGGTTGATATTAACCCACTTGATTTTAATTTGGTTTGTTTAGCTATAGTTCACTTAACTTTGTGGGCTGGCAGATAAAGGAGAGGAAATTAGCACCCTTGCAGCCTTGGAGGTGTTTTTCCTAATGTCAGGTCTGGCAGGGGAGAAGCCTCATCAGCACTGGGACCAACACTAGAGTCTTCTGTTGGCCTGCTGGCAGCCCTGACCATTACCCATAGGGCAGCATGTGTAATGGCAATTGCTACCTCTGCTGGCTCCTCACTTGCTCCTCCATTGACCCTTGATTGCTGCTTGCCAGCTGTTTTCCAGTCCATGTTTCCTGCTGATGCCAGGCTCTGTGCACCTGGTGAGCATTGGAAGATGTTGCTTTTGGAAGCAGTTTGATATTTTTCTTGCCTATTGTCATAGCCCAGCATAGCCCATCAGCCAGCTCTGTTGCTGCAGACAGGAACTGGTCTGGGCTTCAGGCAGCTAAGGTGGTGAGTGGGTGATGCAGAGCAGCAGTGTCTGAGGAAAGCCATCCAAGCACCAGGTCCTTCATGGGGAATCCTTCACTCTTCCTGAGAGTCTGAAGCTGGATGTTACCACTCTCCATGCCTACCACTCTCCTCCAAGGTGGATCTCTGCACCTGGCTCCCATTGCCATGCTGCATTTTCATGCTGATAGCCAGGGCAAATAAATCAGAGTTCCCAGAAATACTAATAGGCACAGCAACCCAGTGCCAAATGCTCCCCCTCTGTGGTTTACGAGGTGCTCAAAGCCCTGGGACAGGGACCTAGGCTGGGAGCAGCAGAGCCTGGGCAGGCAGTATCCCTGCTGGCTGCAGTGAGGGGATGGCAAGTGCTGCCCACGGCTCCACAGAGGCACCAAGTGAGGAAGGCACAGCACCCACTTGCATCACAGCAGGAGCAGTTCTCTGAGTGATCCCAGCACCCAAGCCCAGGCCAGGTTAAGGGTTACTGAGTCTCAGATCATCTCCCTGGCATCCTACCTCCCTCATAGGCAGGTAAGAGCAGTGCAAGTGTGTGAAACGCACCCCACAGAGCTTGCAATTTCAAATCAGGAGCTGTCCTGCTTCTTCTCCAGCCCTGACTGTCCCCATGAGACTGAACCAGACCATGCCTGCAAAACATCTCTACACATGCAGCTAAAGAATGAATTAATTCCAGAATTTACTCCTGGAGCCCTCTATAAAAAAAATCATAGGGTGACTTCCCTCTGGGGTACCCAGGAACATGTCCTAAGAGGCTGATTTGACTCTTCCAGCTGTCTGCCCTGTCCACTAGCACCTGGAAACCTAAACATGACCAACACTGGCAGCATAGTCACTTGTGCCCTGCAAACCTCAGCCAGGCACGTCTGTAGGTCTGCCTAGGCTGGGTGTTGGGACAGGATACCAAGGAGCCCCAGGCAGCCCAGAAGCCCTGTTCCAACAGCAGGAGGCTCCTGCCCAGCCCACCACCCTCTGATAAATGAGGAAGGGCTGTGGAGTAGCATGGCCGGCACACTGGGGCAACACAAGCCCACGCAGCTGTAACATACAGCTGAGACCAGTCCTGGTGACTACAAGGACAAGGCATGCTGCAAAGAGACCGGCTTTAGGAGCTTGCAAGCGAGGAAAGGCTCAGGACACACTTGAGAACCTAAATCCTCCCAGTAGACTTAAACAAGAATCTGAAGATGGACAATGAACAGGATCTGATTACACGGTCCTCATGGTATTGAGAATAACACAAAACAAGGACCAGGATCCATGGGAGAGTAAGTGTAGAGAGGAGAATAGATCTCAAGTAAGCATAAGTCTACCAAGTCTCAAGTGATGTTTGCGGGGAGGTACAGGAAGGCAGAGCAGCTGCAAATGCACAACGCCTCATCCTTCTACTTCAGGAAGGCATGAACTCAAACTCTGCACCCAGCTTGATCCCTCTGCTATGAGTCAGGGGGACATGTGGAATTAAACTCTGAAAGCCGTCAGAATGGAAACCTGAGCAGGAGGAGATGGAAGCAGCTGAGTCAGAGACTGCTTTTTCTCCCCTGGAACTACCGCTGGAGCCCAATTCAGTGCTTCCCACAAGACCCACATTAACACGCTCTTCCTGTACATCCTAGCACAGCCCAAAAGCTCTTCCACAAGCTGTTCTCACGCAAGTGATTTGAGCTTTGGTTCCTTTCAACAGGGTTTTGGAAACAACCAGCTGTGGAGTAGATCCTGTACGTGAGAGAGATGGGGCTGATGTACACATGCAAATCTGATGCACAAATATCTCTACATTATCCTAGCCAGAAGCTGTGCTCAAGGGCAGGTGCTGTGGTGTGATCCCACTCTGGTGAAACACAGTCCTGGGTGAAGCTACCGGGATGCTGATACCGACAGACCCCGTGAGAGCAACACAGCCTCTGCAGAGGAGTGGGAAGGTGTTTCACCACCTAACAAATAAAAGATTTTCTCCCCCTGCTCTTGATATGTTTGAAGAGTGCACACAGTCGCTCTACACTCTAAGGTGCCACCACTTCATAGCTAGATCTATACTGCATGTAAATTCTCTATTTTTGCATCCATACAGTTTATTTATCCAGCCTTTAAAATTTATTTTTTCTTATTGGGTCCCACATTATTAAGACACTGAACTGAGCTAATAAATCCAGATACTCTGCCGGGGGTTTATCAACGAGACACTCTTGGTTTATTGCCTACTGGCCGAATCTTTGCGGTGACCAGACCCTCTCTCACCACAGGCACAGGGCAGGGTGACACTGCCAGAGGTGGCAGTGATAGTTCCCGGTGAGCCAAGAGCCTAAAGTCGGTCCTTGTGATGTCCATGCCCTGAAGGACACCCCCCCATCCGCGGCCCATCACTGCAGTGCAGGATCCGGTGCCTGCCCGCAGCCCTGTCCTTGCCCACAGTGCCGTGTACAGAACATGCATCCTTCTTCCATGCCAGCAGGAACCGGGCTGGGCTGGAGCCGAGCACACCGCTGGGCTGCCAGGTTCTCGCAGCTCCAGCCGGCCCCGGCTCTCCGGCCCGGCAGACCCGGCTCCTCACCCCACGAGCGGAGCGCGGCAGCAGGCAGGAACCTGGAGCAGCGGCCCTCCCCCAGACCGGGGGCCCTCATATGCTCCATGCTCCAGCCCCGGCGGGTTCGTTCCCAGCCGCACCGGGAAAGATTTATTCGTTTCCCGGTGCCGGTTCCGGACACTACGTCTTTATTTTCGTTTACTTCCCGCCGCGGCAGAGGCCGGCGAGCCCGGGAGCGGCTCGACTCTGACGGCACGGGGGCAGACAGTGCCCCTCGGGACCGTACCCGGTTGGGGTAGGGCAAGACTCTCCTTCGGATTGGATTCCCGGGGGCCCGCAGCCCTCGGAGTTGTACGAATCACTGACACACACCCCCCCCCCGCCGCCAATGGGACCTGAAAACTTGCCCTGACTGGGAAGCAGGTCAGTGCGCAGCATCAGACTTGCACTGGTCAGCCAGGAGAGCTAATCGCCCCGCCGGGGTCCCGACAATAACTGCCAAGAAGCCGCGAAGATGCGGCCTCGGAAAACCTCAGCTCTCCCGAGGGGACCTGCTCCCCGTTGTGCCGGTAGTTGGAAGGGGCAACAGCTGCGTCCTGCCCGACGGGAGGGTTGGTCCTCGGGTCACTCACCGTGGAAGTCAGAGAGCCTCGGCACCAGCATCCCGGCTCGGATCCAGTGCTCCAGGGGGAAGGAGCCGGCCACGGCCGCCTTCAGGTGCTCCGCGCCGGGCGGCGGCAGGTGGGGGATGCCGGTGTAGGAGAAAGAGGGGTGCTGGCTCCCCAGGGCCGGGAGGGGGTAGACAGCAGAAGGGTACAGGGCCGGGAGGGCGCCGAGCCCGGGGCCAGGGAGGTGCAGCAAGCCGGGCTTGGGGACAAAGCCGGCCGCGGCGAGGGGCGCGGCAGCAGGGAGAGCCCGCGGTGAAGCGGGGTCGGAGTGTCCGGCGGGGTCGGGGCTCTCGGGGCTCAGCCCCGGTGGGGACCCGCTCCGCGCCGGATCTTCAGCCAGAATTGCCTCGATGCGGAAGTTTTGGGACTTCTCCATGGGCTTGTGCATGGCCCAGCCCCTTGCGGAGCCGCCGGCCGCCCCCCCGCCTCCCCGCACTCCGCCGCTCCCCTGCCAGGGCACAGCAGGGCCGGGCAGCCCCGGCGGGATCCCGCCGCGCCGCACTCCGCGGGGCTGCCCTCGGGGGCAGCCCTCCTTGCCGCTCCTCCTCCTGGGCACTCACTCGCCCGCTGACACCGGGGGGGTTTTAACCCTCCCTCCACCTGCCCCGGCTCCCCATTGGCTCCGCGCCGGCCCCCCGCCCCTCCAGCTCTGCCTGCCTCCCCGCGGGCCCCGGCCGGGCTCTCCCCTCCGGCTGCCTCATCCCCCGGCCGCAGCAGCAGGGACACTCCGGGGCCTGACCCGGAGCCCTCTGCCCCCTCCCCAGCCTCAGAACCCAGCACAGCCCTGTTGCACACGCGGCTTGCAGGACCCGCCGCCCAGGGTGCTGAGCCCATTGTCCCAATGTAGAGCCAACCTCCCTTTCCTCAGAGACCCTCCGTACAGAAGAGGGTCTGTGGCTGTAATGGCTGGAAGAGAACTGGAGAGAATCAACAGACTTCAGCACGGTTGGCAAAGACCTGCTGGACTCCAGTTCTCCCCGGGCTCTGCAGAGCCCCCAGGCACCTGGGGGGCAGAGTGTCTAGCTGGGAGGGCAGGGAAGGCCCTCACCCACTGGCAAGCTCCTTCACACCCAGTGCAAAAGGAATCACTAGCAGTACCCAGCTATGCCGTGCCTTTCCTACTGCAACACTCAGGGCCAGGGAGATCAATGGATTTGAGCTGGACACGGAGGCCACCACCTTCCATCACCCATGTCAACAAAGCAGGTGCTTGCAGGCAGATCATTTGCTTGATTTTATCTGTTTCAGACAGGACACAGCTTGGAGAGCAGCACCAGGGAAGGGCGGACAGGAAAACCTTTGCTTGTCTGAGACTGGGTGAGAAGGAGCAGAGCTAGCCCAGAGGGCCAGATGTCCTGGCACTGGTGTTTAGGGAGAACCAGAGTGCCAAGTGCATCTGTGTGTCTCTGGGTCCCACTTTGTTTTATCATGCTGGCACAGTGAGAAAAGCCTCTGCTTGTTTTACCCAATGATGGGTCCTGCTCTTCGGAAGGCAAGTGAGGAAGTCATTATTACCCTGCCTAAATATTATGGTGCCTAAAAGGGAGCTCCCATCCCTGTATTTCTTCCCCATTAGCATTTCCAGCACTGCTGTATTCCCCGAGCAAGAGATGGGTCCACTCCCCTGTATCCTGTGTTCCACAGAGGCTGCAAGCAGTTGCCCAAGGAGGGAAAAGGCAGGAGTATATGGAGTTTTCCTCAGCCTCCTTTGCTTTCTCTGCTCAGTAACCCCAGGGGCTTCTCTTCCCTCTGCCCACCCAGTCTGGTGTGGAGCCTGCTGGGCTCCCTGCACATGTGTCACCCATTGCAGGGAGCTCTAAAGGTCCCACGTGTGGGATAACTTCCTCCATTCACTTCCTGAGCCTAGCACTCAGGAGCTTCACTGGGTTGGCCCCAAACTCCCCCTGTGTGGGAACAGATGCACAACTGCCCCTTTCCAGCTGCTTTTCTGGGAGGGAGGAGGGAAGGAATCAGCCCTATGGACAGCCGAGAGCTGGATTTGCTCAAAAGGGTGTTTGGGGTGTATGTCACCCCATAGTAAAACACCCTACTTGGACAGAGGGTACAGAAGGTCCCTTTCCACCCTCAGCACCTGTTGCCATACCATCTCTCCACCATCGTGCAGGCTGTAGGGCTCTCCCAAGCCCCAAATTCACCCCCCTCTGCTTTCTCAGGACAGAAGCCAACATCCCTGACAAACAAAAGGACCCCAAGCCCTTTCACTCTTCCTGCCATGGGAGTAGCCAGCCCTGACAAGCAGCAGGCATAGGCAGACAAGATTTGGTGAGCGAGCAATGGAACAGCCTGGCTCCCAAGCACAAGGGAAAAGTGCAGCAAGTATTCAGGGACCAGAGGGCACAGGAAAGGTAGGACAGCTCTTCTACTGCAGGTCAACAGCCTGCAATGGTGACAGAAGCGAGGAACCACCACTTTCTTATCTGAGTCCTCAAGACTGGCTCCTAGGATTGCAGTGGCTTGTTAGCTTTGCACAGGGAACATGCATTGATACCCAGGACAGAGATTGTGCCTGCTGCACTGGGGCACAACAGAGAAGTCACCACCACAGTGATCACCATGGGATGGTAGTAGCCAGCCCAGGAGAGGCTCAGTAACCACTGCCAAGCCCTGAGCACAGTGTGGCTTGGACAGTGGGAGCAGGGAGTGAGGCTCATTCTGGGGGTCTGGGTCACAGCACAGAGTCACAAATTACTGTCCTCATTGAAGTCCCCTGTACCACCTAAGGAGGCTCTCCAAAGACAAACAAGTCCTCCAAGAATCAGCAACCCAGGCTGGTGCCCAATTCACAGATCCCAGGGTGATGCAAGCACAGGAAGCCAAGCTGCAACCTTGGAATTGCACAGGCAAGAAATCTTTGCAGACGCCAGCCATAAAACCTGGGTGAAAACACCCTGATGAAGAAATCTAGAAAAAGCATTGAGGGAGCTCCTTCCTCAAGGTGAACCAAACCCAGACACTGGGACACTGCAAGAGGGTTGTCCAGGGCTGGAGCAGCTGACACACAGCCCACACCATGCAGGGCAGAGAGCTGGAACCCAGGGCTGTGCACACAAGTGCTGTGCCAAGCAGTGGTCGGCAGAAGGGGCGGGATGCAGCCAGTGATAGATGCCAGGATGCTGATGAGTTCACAATCTTCAAGGTCGTTAATCAGATCAGAGCTGGATTAAGTTGTCCAGGTCTGATTAGCTTCATTTCCAGCCTCAGGAAGGAGGGAACTCTCTTCTCCATCCATCAGGTCCTCTGGTGACAGCTCACCTGGTTGCTAGCTAGATCCGAGAATTGTAATATGTGAACATGATAGCAGGCTGGCCCCTTACCTCTGCCGAGCATCCTTCTCCACAGAGGATCTGAGGCAACCCCAAACATCAGCAACAGGTAGCAGACCCCAGAATATCAGCCAGCAAGACAGCTTGCTCCCATGGCCTGGGGACACAAGGCACTATGGACAGGAGCTACCCTAGGAAATCACCCCAGTTCAGGAGGAGGTGGAGTTTAAGGGGGGTTGTTCCCCACCAGCACCATCTTGCTTCCAATCCCCCCCACAGGTCACCCCAGGGCCTCCTCTGCTCACCGTGGTAGCAGAGCACTCAGTGTGACTGGCTCTATGAAACAGGTCAGCAAACACCACCTTGCTGCTGTGAAGGTCTTGGACACATCCAGGACCGCTCTCCTGAGGCCTGTACAGAGCTGGATGGACCAGCTTGAAGCCTTGAACCAGCCAGAGTGTTTCTCCCATCTCCACATCCCTCACTGGCTCAACCCACCACATCAACACCTCCATTTGTTCTCTGCCTGATGCATTTCACACTGTGCCCTAAAGGTGCCTGTGCTTAACCATTTAGTATATTCATGCCTAGCAAGTGCAGACCAGTGGGAGGTCCATGTTGCCCAGGCATAGCAAGGTTGCTCAGCTCCCTCACCTCTCTGGGAGGGCCTGATCACAGCATCCTTTGCAGGGCAATGGGCAGCACCAGGAGTGGTCACACAACCCAGGGCTTCCTGGGACTCTTTCATTTGCCCAGACGTTTTGTGGGATTTTCCTGGATGTGCCTCAGCTGGACCTTCAGAGCCCAGTCTTTCTTCAGCCACCTGAAAGCAGCAGCCACAGCACTAGGCAGAGTGGGTGTAAAGCTCTGCAAAACCATTCATTGTTGACCTGAAGGTGTCCAGCTAGACAACTGGAGCTCTTTGCGTTATTTTTCTTTCCATAGCCTCAAATGGATTTTCTCTGTAAAACTTCCAGCCCTGCAAGGTCAAACAGCAGGAGTAAAACAGGAAGAGCAAACACCCACAGGGCAAAGACATCCAGCTCTGGTGCACACAAGTTTTCAGCATCTGTAGAGACCCACAGCACTCCCTACAGCAGTTCACATGCTTCCCCAAGCTGTCGCCAGCAGTGCCTGAGCTCCCAGAAACAAGCCATGGGATCACAGGTAGTATTTGGGAGCGCAGTTCAGTTTTACAGCCCTGCTACTTCCTCAGTGTTACCTTGGGAAGCAACGTAATGTCCCTCAACAAACCCAGCTTTCCCAAGATCAAAGTCAAGAGTGCCGAGGATAATCCATAGCCTGATAACAGTCACTGACTGGGACCAGACTTCCATTTTCCCAGAATCGAGTTCTTATCCCAGACATCAGATGAAGACGTGATCCATGCTGGGGCTGTCTTGATTTCTACCTACTAAATGCACAGTTTAGCACTAGGTCCCTCTGGTAGGTTTGGGTTACCTCCTACATTTAGTCAGTAGAAGTTACCTTTGAAACAGGGACCAGTGCAGGAACCGCTGTGACTAACCCATCCCAGAGAGGCAACAGGCACCCTAATTTCTGCCCAGGCTATAGCTTTTAAGCCTAGAAGGAGCTCCCTGTCCCTAGGGTGGCTGAACCCACTTGCTCAGCATTAGCTGGTCCCCAGGTTACAACTCCCAGAGCTTTCCATCTTTGGAAATTACTTCTCTGTAAGAGACCCACAGTGTAACAACCTTGTTTATAGCATCCCTCAGAAAACAATGGATCTTGCTGCTCTGGTCCTGGTGCCTCAGGTCACCTGCAGCACTGAAGTCCCAACCCAGCTAGTGGAAAAATACAGCCCAGAAGCACCACCGATGCTGGGGACAGAGGCTGTAAGCCTGCTTGCAGGTGCTTTCTCAGCCATTCCCCCATAAAAAGGGCTGTAGAAGTGTTCCACTCTCATTTATGTTCTGCAGCCTCTAGCCCAGAGAAGGCTGAACCCCTGGTCTGCTCCAGTTTGGGGTGCCCCAAGTCTTGTGGGAGCCCTGACTACTCCTCACAGTGGGATGCTGCCCTTTCCCTGCCCCTTTCAGCTGGGCCACCCACTATCTCTGGAGTCTGGGAAGCCACAGGAGGCTGGTGGGGAAGGTAAATAAA